ATGCCCAGTTTCCTGGGAGAATGGAGGAGAAGGGATTGCAGGATGGCTATCCCCCAGATGGATGGTTTTTTCACTTTCCCCTCTCACTGCCTCTGCTTTTTGCTCTCTGAACACACATACTCTAAAGTGAAAAACCTCTCAAAAAAAAGTTTGAATTTTTAAAAGAATTATTTAATTTTATTTATTATTATTATTATTATTTAAATTTGGCCAGAGAGAAACAGAGAGAGAGAGAGAAAGGAAAAGTGAGAAAGCAAGATGCCAGGTCACCACAGTCAGCCATTTGGGGTCCAGAATCCCAACACCAGCCCACCTCCCAGCCCCTAAAGTTTTAATTAAATAATCACATGTGGTTTATAGCTGCGACCACATTGGCCAGCTCAGAGACAGCGCGAGAAAGGGAAAGTGAGAAAGCAAGCCTCAGGTCTGGGACTCAGTGGTCAGCCATGTGGGAACTCCGTGCCCTCAACCACCACACCACCTGCAGGGCCCAAGCATATACATTTAAAAAAATAATAATTATGTATTTTGTTTATTTATCATTATTATTATTTCACATGAGTTTTTGCCAGAGAAAGGCAGGTAGAGAGAGAGAGAGGGTGAAGGAATGAGCTGCCAGGTCCAGGATTCAGACCGTGGTCAGCGATGTGGAAATTCCAGCACCTTAACCACCACGCCACCTGCTGGCCCCCTAAGCATATACATTATTAACTATTGTAGAATTGTATATTAATTTCAAAGTATCAGTGTCTTAAAACGATAAAAATGTTTTCAACTGCATCACATCCAAACCAATCAGTCCTAGGGTGTGTGTGGTGGGGGCAGTCTGTTCCACCTTGTCCTTGGCACACTGGTTCCTTCCATTGTTTACATGGCTGTCATCTTTTACACAGACCTCAAAGGTGGTTGTGAAAGAGAAGAGAATGTGGGCTATACAGAGGGCTTACAGACCATGTCTGAAAATAACTGACATTACTTCCATGCTTATACACATATTCTTTTTTTTTTTTTCCAGGTTGCCATAAGGGGGGTGTGCTCACCAGAGAGAGAGAGATAGTGAGAAATTACCCCGGGGTGGGGGGGGGGGAGGGCACAATCCACTCTCCTTTTTGTTCTTGGGATTTGGGGCACACAAACACACCTGGTATGATTTTCAAGCCTCTGGGTCTGGAAATTGACCCATGCATTCAGCCATGTAGGATCCAGCCACCTTAACCATCACATGACCTGCTGACTTCTGTGTACATATTCTTTTTTTTTTTTGGAGAGACTTTTGCTATAGGGCACGTGCGCTCACCAGAGAGACAGAGACAGAAAGCGAGAAATTGCCCCCCAGGGGGGATGGTCACACTGCAATCCCCTCTTCCATTCTCCTCTTGGGATCTTGGGCACATATGCACACACAACTAGCATGAGTTTAAGCCACCAGGTCTGGGACCTGAACCGTGGTTAACTACATGGGAGCCCAGCGATATAGACATTATGCCAATTGCTGGTCCAAGAAAACATTCTTACTATAGGAAGGATGAGAAGACAATACCTCACTTTATGTTGTTTGGGGTATTTTTTGGAAGCAGGTCAATCTGTCCAGAAATTCTAAATTCTACTATGTTTTTATTCAGGGGTCCATGTGGGTACACTGGGCTGACTAAATCCCAGGTTCCAAAGGTGACTATAAGATTCAAGCGTGGCTAGGGTATTGTATTCTCCTGCCCATGTTGATGGGTTCATGAACAAAGTGAAGTCCTCCTGGAGATTCAGATTAAAAACGGACTCAGTTTCCAAGCAATGTAAGCTACAGTGCTGATAGGTAATTTTGTCACTAGTTGCCTGAGAATGAAGTCAACACACAGGAAAATAATCCAAGAGAAAGAGAAAGACAGAGAAAGATATAGCTAAGTTAGATATTTATTGGTATGAGAGAAAGAGAGAGACAAAAATGTGATTGTATGCTATCCCAGAGGTCTTATACATAGTAAGAGACAAATCCTTTACTAAATTCTCAATGGATGAGATTAAATTCTGATCTTAAATAAGGACCAGGAGATGGCGTTATGGTTATGTTGCTGGACTCCCACATAGTCAACTATGATTTGAGTCCTGGACCCAGAGGCTTAAAACTTATGCCGGGTGTGTGCATGTGTGCCCAAAATCCTAAGAGAATGGAGAATGGATTGCAGTGTGGCCATCCCTGTGTATTTGTGTGTGTGTGTGTGTGGGGGGGGTGATTTCTTGCTTTCTGTCTCTCTGTCTCTCTGGCGAGTGCACATGCCCTATAGCAAAATTTTCTCTCTCTCAAAAAAAAAAAAAAAAAAAGGAAAAGGAAAAGAAATAGATACAAAACAAAAGTATTGTATAAAGGGGCTGTATAGTGGTGCAATAGTAAAAGATAAAGCTCTGTGAGGCTGACCCAAATGGGAGGGTTCCAGATTTGTATCTGGAGACCTCCCTGTGAACATTGGGTATGCATGTACTCATGATATGGGATGGCTGAGGCTGGGGGTGGATCATGGCATCAAGGGGGTGCTGTCTGTTGCTCATTGATGAAACAAATGGACAAGGTTTAAAAAAAATTACCTTAAAGCCATATGTATAAGATACATATGAAATATAAATGAATTGTGTATTTAGGCCTGGGTCCCATCCCCAAGATAACTCATTATGTATAAATAAATATTTCAAAACAAAAAAAAACTTAAGTCTGAAACTGCTTTGCTAAGCATTTAAGGATAAAGGGGAGTCAACCTGTAATGGCAGGGTGTTAAGATAGAACGGACAGCTAAAGGGTTATCTTGGAAAGGTACAGACATACTAAGCCGATGATGTTTACATACTTAACAATACACATTTCAAGACGTACATACTTATTTCAAGATTCTTTTCCAGTTTTCATATTGAGGTGGAAATTTGTACTAATCAACACATAGTTTTCATTTAAAATTCAGCAAATGGCTATCAATAGAGAGTTAGTTAAATTAATCTTCTGATCTTTCTAGACAAGATCAGTAACCCCAATTAGATGGCTCATAACATTAAGGCTTTTTCCCCTATCTGAAATAGTAATTATATTTATTTTAAATTTAAAACAAATTGTTATAGATCATGTGCATTTGCCAGAGGAAGACACAGAGAAGGGAAGTCAGAGATAGGGTAAGTGAGAATCCATCCCCCAGGCGGATGGCCATACCACAATCCCTTCTCCACTCTCCTCTCAAGATTTTGGGCATACATGTACATGCCCCCAGCATTTTCATAAGATACCCCATCCACGACTTAAACCACACAGTTGGCTGTGTGGGATCCAGCTGCCTTAACCATCAAGCCACATGGCTGGCCTGTAATTATATTTTTTTATGGTTACTTCATGTCAGTTTTTTCTACTAGCCTACAAGACTAATGAAGGCAGGGACCATGGTGCTGGCACTGTGTGCTTAGTGCTTGGCATCACACTTAGTATACAGTAGATGTTTAATATTTGAATGTGTAATAAATACATGCAATGCAATACTATGAAACCATATAAAAGCATGACGATGTGGAATTATTTATTGACATGTAAAATTACTCACAGTATATTAAATTTAAAAATCAGATTATAAAATAGTAGTATACTATAATTCCATTTCTATAAAAAGAATAGCCATGTATACAGATAAATACATCAAAATGTTAATAGTAGTAGGATTATGGAGAGTTAATTCATTTTTATAACTGTCCATATCAGTTATATTTAAAAACTAACAGTATTTTAAAAATTATTTTCTGACTTAAAAATTATTTTCATTTTGAAAAGAAAGACATCAGATCCTTTTTTCTAACTTTCTTCTGTTCAGACTTTCGCTTGAACAACTAATTTTGGCATACAGTATTCAACTAGGCAATAATAGAATAACTAGCATTTCTGAACTCACATCAAAATGTTGGATTCTATTTATCTTTACATTATTTTTTTCTTTATTTTTCTTCTCTTTATTTATTGCCACAGGGCATGTGTGCACCCAAAGAGAGAAGAGAGAAAGCCCTTGATAGAGCGTGGTCACACTGCAATCTTTTTTTCTCCATTTCTCCATCTCATCAGGATTTTAGGCATGCATGTACAGGCACTTGTGTTTTTCAGATCACCGGGCCAGGACCCAGAGTGGTGGTCATGTGCGATCTAGTTCCCTCAGTACTAAACCACTGCACTATGGGGCGGCCCTCATCTTGATGTTATTTCTGATTTAAATGGACCTTCAACAGAATGATCACTATGAAACCTTCACTTTTGTGTTAAAATTTATTACTTTATTTGTATTTTCGTAATTACTCATTAGACTTATAGCTCTCCTCATGTTTTTGTTCCTACTCAGATATGGAGATTAGAATAGACCTTAGATTATCTTAGTCTATTTTTTTAGCTGAAGATCAAGAAAGTTAAAAGGCAGTGGACTTCTCAATACAAAAAAAAGTCAGTCAGTGGCTGCTACACTTAAAAGTACCTTCCTTACACAAAGCAAGTTTGCAAAGGTGAAGTTTTTATTCTCCCCCAGAACACCAAAGATTACCAAAATTGTAAAAGCACATCCCATTTAAACAAATAATTTTAACAACCCTATTGGTTTTAAAACTACAACTAGGGATTTTTAAGGTCAAGTTATAATTTTCCCTTTTAAAAGATGTTAATTTACATAAGACATTTACAGATATCTCTACACAGCATGAGAATAAACTCGTGGATATCTTAAAAGTATAATTGCACTTATTTTATGTAATAATTAGCATATTGCAGGGAAATGGAAAATATTTTTGCATATAAATTCCTTTGCCCCTATTAAGTATAATTAAAAAAAATAATTAAGAATCAGAAAAAAAGAAACCAAGCAAATACTGTATATATATGACTATCTTTCTTTTTTTTTAAAGATCTTTGTCATAGGGTGCATATGCTTGCTGGGGAGAGACAGAGACAGAGAAAGGAGAAGGGAGCAATCAACCCCCCAGGGAGGATGGCCATGCTGCAATCATTTTTCCTTTATTCTCTTTTTGGGAGTTTGGGCATGCACCCACTTATACCCAGCATGTTTTTCAAGTGCCAGGTTCAGCACTTGAATCACGCAATTGACCACATCAGATCTACTGCCTTAACCACCATCCCATCTGCTGCCCATAACTGCCTGTCTTTAATAACATTTCTGTTATTGCTCTTACCAGTTTCAATCCATTGACACAAAGACCTGAGCACCATATGAAGAAGTCACATTCTGACCTATAAAATGTGTCAGCTCTACAAGAACCCTTACACCACGATTCAATTTCAGTAAAAAGTCAAACAGAAAAGTGATAAATATTGTGCCTCAGAACATCCTTAATCATATAAGACAAATCATTTATAATACAAACTGTTAAGATGAATCTGTCCTGGCACACAGAGGCTTTACATTCTCTTTGGCAACTCAAAACAGTTTAAGAATGGCTTAACAATCTTCATTTCAGATCTAGAAGCATGAAAGCTGGGTTTTCTAAGTAGGATTTCCATAAATTAGAGAAGCGTGACATGGTAGCACCATCAATGACTCTGTGATCGGCTGACCAGCTCACATTCATGATCTGTGCCTTATATACTTCTCCTTCCTGGTTAAATCGGGGAAGGGCCTAGAAAGAAAGACAAAAACAGAGAATAAACCTATACTTGCTCAAAGCTTGAGCTCTGACAACAGTGATGTAAGATTAGACAAGAGGAAATAAAGTCATTTAAAGTAACTTTTAAAAACAATGACTCCTACTTTTTCTCATCATTCCTCAAGTTTTCAGTTTCTCCAAGGTCTTTCTTGTCCCCTGTATAATTTCTGTAATTTACCTTCATTAAATTTTACCTCAGACTTCAAATAGTTAGCAAATATTTACTGAGCACCTACTATGTGCCAGGCATTCTTTTGGCCTCTGGGAAGAGACAGACAATTAAGATAAATAAGGGTCCCTCACTGAAGGCAGTGAGGAAATAAGCCACCTGGACCCTGGAGAAAGAGACGGAGGGAAGCGTGACTGGAGCGTTGGAACAGCACAGTAGGCTGGGTAGCAGCTATGGAGAGGCAGGGGAGAGTGGTGGAGGAGGTCACAGTCAGATTGCTTCTCAATCTGTCTTTGGTAAAGAACATTAAAAACATTTCTAATTCACTGTGAGCTACAGAAAACAATTACAAAAGTACAGTGCTGGCTCTCTAGCAGTATGGTTGAAGTGTTGTGCATTGGGATCTAGATCCCATGTGGCTGATCGCGGTTGAGAGCATGGTTGAGAAACACACTGGATGCATGTGTGTGCATGCCCCAAATCCTGGTGGGATGAAGAAACGAAAGAAAAAGGACTGTGCCGTGACTATGCCCCACTGGGGAGTGCATTCTCTTTCTCTCTCTTACAAGCACATGCACCCTTTGGCTATAAAATATAATTTAAAAAATGAATTGCCAGGCCAGTGGGTGACATGGTGGTGAAGGCAATTGTATCTCACATAACTGACTATGGTTCGAGTCTCAGACTCAGTGGCTTGAAAAACACGCCTGGTGCACATAAGTGCATGCCCAAAATCCCAAAAGGAGAATCGAGAAGCACCCCATAGGAGGTGCTTTTTCACTTGCCCTCTTTCTGTCTCTCTCTGGTAAGTACATGTGCCCTAGAACAAAAATTTAAAAAGAAAAAAGGAAAAGAATAAAAAAGTGAATTGCTGGAACTTTCAGATAGCTGAACACATGGAGGCTCCTGAAGGGTGGTGCACCTAGACAGGCATGGGAGCTCTGCACCCCTCCCACATGGCTGGCTCCATGCATCTCTTCATGTACCTGCCACAACCCTAAATTTGCAACACTGTCTAAAGGCTGCACTTATCTCACCCTTGTCTACACATTCAGTCTCATCTGGTACCCCTCTTTTCACTCTGTACATCAAGCAAGTGAGACTTTCACTCCCTGAATTCCCCACTCGGGCTAGCCTGGGCCACAAGGCCTCCATATCAGCTATTTCCTTGCCTGGAATGTTGTCCTTCCTAATTGTTTCTTCTTTTGGCTAAATCATGCTCATCATTTTAGTTTCAACAGAAATATCATTTCCCCAGTGAAGCAATCCCTCATCTCTCAAATGAGGTCAGGTTCCTATCCTGGAAGAACTATGGGAAAGCACTTCACATAGTCTGAAATTCCTTGCAACCACAAGGACCCATGGAATTTCCTTCCCAAAGAAGCAGATGTTCTTAAGCAAGGCATGCACCTTCTTAGAGATAAGGAGGAGCATATGGAACATCTGAAAGTCCCCAGTTAGAAAGCTGCTTGGGGCTGGCTCCATGGCATGGTGGGTAAGGTAGCCAGTTCCCAGATGGCCAACCTCATGTTTTGAGTCCGGAACCTTGGCAGCTTAAGAAACCTGCAGGATGTGCATGTGTGTGTGCATGTCCCAAATCTCCAAAGGATGGAACCGTGGAGGAGAAGAGACTGCAACATGACCATTCCCCAAGGAGGGATGATTTTCCCTTTCTCTGTGGAGAACTTACATGCTCTTTGTCAAAATTTAAAAAAAAAAAGAAAAAAAAAAGAAAAAAAGAAAGCTGTTTGGTTTAGGAAAAAAATAAAAGTAGATTGCCAAAAAAATAACTAAAAAGATATAGAAGATGTAAGTTCCACTTCTTATTATTAATTTCAATAAATAAAATCACTCTAAAACCATTACAAAAGCTTCTTCCTAAGGCCAATTCCCCTTTTCTGTACTTATTTCCTCCTGACCTGGATACACAGTTGTGGGTAGATGTGGTCCCTGATCACTCTGAGTAGCATCAATGCAGGGTCAAGCAGGCTATTGGAACTACTTGCCCTTGGATTCTCAGTGAGACAGAAGCCATTGGAGTGTCCGGGCTGAATGGCCATTTGCAGAAAGGGGGAGACTATGGGAAGAGCAGGTTTGAAGGTGGGGAGTTGGTAAGGAAAGGAGAAGTTTGTTTTTGGACATGTTAAATTCCAGATGTCTATTAGACATCTAAGCTAGATATAAGAATTTGGAGTTCTAAAGAGAGGTCTAGTTTGGAGACATAACCCTGGGAGTCACCAGCATATAAACAGCATTTGGAGCCTTGACACCAGATCAGATAAAGGAAAGGGTCAGAACTGCGTCCTGGGGTAGCCAATGTTCAGAGACTGGGATATGAGGAGGTACAGGCAAAAGAGACCTAGAGGGGATAGGCATTGAGACCGGAGGAAAACCAGACTAGCAAGGTATTCTGCAAGTCAAATTGAAGAAAGTTTTCCAAGGAGGTGGGAATAAGAAACTATCTCTAGTGTAGCTAGTAGGGTAAGGAAAAGAAGAGTTGAGAACTGAATAATGAAGAGGCTTTAGTGACTTAGACAATTTTGCAATAAGGAGTTAAATATTTTATAGTGAAAGCAGAAAATAGCAAAGGGAAAATGACAAAAAGAGAGAAAGAAATTAAATACTATTTGTCCCTTACACAAAGATTATGCATTGTGATTAAGATTTATACTATAAGGACTATGCTTCACACACTGAAGGAACCATTGTAAAATGACTCTGTAAATACATATATATTGTACAGATATTTGTACACCAATGTTCAAAGTAGCTTTATTCACAATAGCCAAAAAATGGAAACAACCTAAATACTCATTGACAAGTAAATGAATAAACAAAACATGGTATTTGCACACAACAGAACATTATTTAGCCTTAAAAAGAATGAAACTCTGATACATGTACAACATGGTTGAACCTTGAAAACAATATGCTAAGTGAAATAAGCCAGATGCAAAAGGACAAATGCTGTATGAATGCACTTATATGAGAGACCTAGAATAGTGAAATTCACAGGGATGGAAAGTGAAATGGTGGTTACCAGGGCTGGGGCAAAGGAGAGCTGGTTTAATGGGTACAGAGTTTAGGTTCGGTGTATGGACAAGATCTGGAGACACATGCTGGTGATGGTTGCAAACAATGTGAATTTACAAATGTCAGTGAACCATAACTTAAAAATGATTCAAATGGTAACTTTATATTTATTTTACCACAATTATACACACACACACACACACACACAATTCAGAAGAAAATCCCTTTAAGGAAAGAGATAACAAATCTTTGTCAGTCAAGTGCCATGGTTTGGAAACTATAGAAAGCCAGAATTTTATGAGAATCAAGTGCTGGATTCTTGTTAGGAAGATAAAAGAATGATAGAGAAGTTGTTACTCACAGAACTCCAGATTTGGTAAGAATGGTGTCATGCTGTGTGTTTTTGTTTTTTCTCACTATCTCCTGTTTGTCACAAGGGAAGGCAGAACACAGGAAGAGGGGGTAATATAGAAGCTAATGTACGATAAAGCTGAAGGAAGGTACCTATGAGGGTTTTTGATGCCAATGTGTCATGACAAGTCCCAGAGATATTTAATGTGTAAACATAATAGAGAAGAAAGATTGTTTGTAAGACATGAAGAGTAAATCATGTTTGATGTGTGACAATGACATTTAATAATGGTGGACTTATTTACATAGAAATTATTTATCCCAGCAGTTCTCAACTCTGCATTACAAGGATGCCTAAACCCCATCCCTGAAAGTTCTGATTCAGCTGATACAGAGTGGGCTTGGACATAATTTATTTTTTCTTTTTTTTGTGAGAGAGATTTTTGCTATAGGGCACATACAATCATGGGAGAGACAGAGAGAGGAAGTGAGAAGTCACTCCCCTCTTCAGGGAGTATGGCCATACCATAGTTTCTTCTCCTCCATTCCCCTCTCAGTATTTTGGGTAAGCATGCACTTGCACCCAGCATGATTTAAGTGACCTGGTTTGGGACTCGAACCACAGTCAGCCATGTGGGAGTCCAGCAACTTAACCACTATGCCACCTGCTGGCCTCCATCATTTATTTTCTGATATGCATCTTGCATGAGTCTAACATATGTAGCCAGGGTTAAGAACTAATGCAACCCTTAAGCCAGCAGGTGGCATGGTAGTTAAGGATGCTGGACTCCCACATAGCTGAATGAGATTTGAGTCCTGAACCTGGGGACTTGCTTTCTTTCTTTTTTTGGGGGGAGAGATTTTCACTATAGGGCACGTGCGCTCGCCAGACAGACAGAGAGACATAGAGACAGAAAGCAAGAAATCACCCCCCCAGGGGGGATGGTGATGCCACAATCCCTTCTCCTCTATTCTCCTCTCGGGATCTTGGGCACGCACGCACACATGCCCAGCGTGAGTTTTAAGCCACCGGGTCCGGGACTTGAACCGCAGTCGACTACGTGGGAGTCCAGCGACATAGCCATTACGCTAACTGCTGGTTCCCGGGGGCTTGCTTTCTTACTTTCCCCCTCTCTCTCTGTCCTTCTCTGGTCAAATTTAATCAAATAAATAAATAAATAAATGTTAAATAAAATAATTCTTAAAAAAAGAAATAAACTGATGCAACCCTTATTCTAAATCAGTATCTCCTAAAACATAGCAACAGATCACATTAAAACCACCTGGGTCCTTCAGAATGCAAGTTCTGGCCCTGCCACAGTGGCACATGCCGCTAAGATGTCTTGCTTCACAGCTGGAACCACAAGGGAAATAGTAACAGTGATAAATAAAGTTAAAATAAAAAATAAAAGAAAGTTAAAATAATACAAATATAAAAAGCATATTATAAAATATATTTATGGATATAAATATATAAAAATTATAACATGAAAAAATATAAAAAATCATAAAATGGAAAAAAAATTTTAATTAAAAAAATTAAAATTTTTAAAAAGACAAACAAAAAATAAAAAGAAAAGAAATGCTCTACATAGTATCCCATTATGTTATAATTAACAATTTGGATTGGTTTACTATTATTCTTTGGTATTCTGAAATAAAGATATTTTGATTAGCGACAGATTGGCTATATTTGTGATAACCCATAAATACTCACACTTGTGGGGCCAGCAGGTGGCGTGGTGTTTACAGGCACTGGACTCCCACATGGCTGATCACAGTTCAAGTCCCAGACCTGACAGTTTGCTCTCTCACTTTCTCTTCCTCTCTTTCAGTCTCTCTCTAGTCACATTAAGAAATCATAATAATAAAGTTGGGACCAGCAGTTAGCGTAATGGCTATGTCGCTGGACTCTCATGTAGTCGACCGTGGTTCAAGTCCTGGACCTGGCAGCTTAAACTCACGCTGGGCGTGTTTGTGTATGTGCCCAAGGTCCTGAGAAGAGAATGGAGGAGAAGGGATTGTGGCGTGGCCATCCCCCCTGGGGGGTGATTTCTCGCTTTCTGTCTCTCTGTCTCTCTCTGTCTTTCTGGTGAGCGCACGTGCCCTATAGTGAAAACCTCTCAAAAAAAAAAAAAAGAAAGAAAAAAAGAAATAATAATAATAAAGTCAAATAAATTAATTAAGAAAATTTAAATAAAAAGACTCACACTTGTGCCATAGTTCACAATAGTTGATCCATAGAGAAATCCTCTAGATCAACAACACCTTTATTACACAAAAAAGCAGCCACTGTAATTATAGACCTAGCTCTTAGGAAGAAATAACAGACTTACTGAGCCAAATTCACAAATTCAAACCTACAAAGTGGGGTTGGGAGAGGACCTTAATGATGGTTATTCTTTTTTGTGTTTGCTTACACTCTATTTTCCAATTATTTAACACAAGTACCTTAATTGATCCAAGGGCCCCAATGGCTACTTCAGGCGGCAATATCACTGGTTTGGCATAGGAACCACCGATCTATTCAATTAGGGAAAAGAAAAAAAAAAGGAAGGGTAGAAAAATTCATCTTTCAGGAAACAAAAGGCAAGTAACATTTTATATTTTTAATTAAACATATGATCAGAAATCTTGAGTTGTGGCTTGTGAATTTGAACATGGTTACTACTCACTGATCCAATGTTGGAAAGAGTAAATGTTCCTCCTGTAAGATCAGTGGTGCTGAGCTGACCCGCAGAGCCCAATTTCTGGAGGCGGTTCAGTTCCATAGCAATCTCAAATATTGAGCAGACCTGAACATTTTTCACGTTGGGGACAATCAAACCCTGCTCAGTATCCATTGCGATCCCAATATTATGAGAAGCCTAAAAATTAAAAAAATTATATAGTAAGTCTGTTAAGCTAAATAAACTAAAGGCAAAGAACAGATCAACCTTCACTGTTTCAGTATCTTCTAAAAACATCCGCAAAAAATTGGGGCCAGCAGGTGGTGTGGTGGTTAAGGGTGCTGGACTCCCACATGGCTGACCACGGTTTAAGTCCTGGACCTGGTGGCTTGCTTTCTCAGTTTCCTTATCTCTCTCACTCTGTCCCTCTCTGTTCAAATTAAAATAGATAAATGAATAAATAAATAAAGTTAAATAATTCTTTAAAAAAAATCCACAGGTCAGAGATTGAGTGTTAACTCTGTGACCGCCTGCATAATAAACAGTTCTCCTAATCTAAAAAAAAAATCCACAAAAACAATTTTACCAGATTGGCAATGACTTAAACAATTATCAACAATTTAGAAAGAATTTTTTTGAAGTTTTTTTTTTTGAAAATAAGCCATTTCTCTACACTTAGTAGGAATGTAAGCTGGTATAGGCTTTCTGGAGAATATCTGACAATGTGTATTAATATTTCTAAGAATCTATGCTAAGGAGATGGCTGCAGAAGTATAAAGGGATACACAGGAATGTTGAGCAAACACTGTTTATAAGTCTGAGAAACTGCAAATAATCAAAACTTAATCATGAGGTCACTGGTTAAATAACTGAGAATGAGGCTATATTTATTGACAATGATGTCCATAATATAGTAAATGAAAAGGTAAGTTAATATACTTTAATTTTGATTAAGAAAAATATACATTAATTTTGTATATATGTACGTGACTATGTATATGTGTACATATGCATGTATATAAAAAATACATATTTTTACGAAGTATATATCTCTATTTTTCACAGTCTTTTTTTTTTTTTTTTTAAATAAAGTTTTGCTATGCTGCCCACACAGGCCTTGAACCTACAGTTCTCGGGACCAGCAGTTAGTGTAATGGCTATGTTGCTGGACTCCCATGTAGTTGACCGTGGTTCAAGTTCCAGACCCGGTGGCTTAAATTCATGCTCGGTGCCTGTGAGCGCGTGCCCAAGATCCCGAGAGGAGAATGGAGGAGAAGGGACTGCGGTGTGGCCATCCCTGCTGGGGAGTAATTTCTCACTTTCTGAATCTCTGTCTCTCTGTCTGTCTGGTGAGCACGTGTGCCCTGTAGCAAAAACCTCTCCAAAAAAAAAAAGAACCTACAGTTCTCCTGCTTCAGCCTCCCCAGGAGCTAGAATTATACATCATGGTATCTGGATAATTGCATATAAACTTTTTAAAGTGTATACAGTTAAAATCCTAGAAAGATGTACATCTCAACATACACACTGAGTTATCTTAGGGTAATGAGATTGAACTTAAACATGATCTTCTTGTCTCACATTATTGTGGGAAGTATCTACTTAATTAGGAAATACTATCATAAAAATTGGAACCAGCAGATGGCATAATGGTTATGCTGCTTGACTTCCACAGCCAACCGTGGTTTGAGTCCTGGACCCAGCGACTTAAATTCACACCAGGCACATTGTGCGTGCATGCCCAAGATCCAGAATGAAGAATGGAGAAGGGATTGCAGCGTGACCATTCCCCCCAGGAGGTGCTTTCTCACTTACTGTCTCACTCGCTGGTGAGTGTACACGCCCATAGCATAAAAAATCTCTCTCTCTCTAAAATAAATGAACATACACACACACACACACATACATTACAGATTGCAGTATTAGTCATATGAGAATATTTCAGAGGCGAACCCCAGAACATCAAAGCTTACTTTCTGGTTGTATGTTTCTAAAGAGAAACGTACATAAGGATCAGCCTCTCCAAAACCTCTGTCTTAATAAATTTTCACTCCAAACAGGACTGTTTGCTAAAACCAAATTTCAACTTTCATTACTTCTATCATTTAAATTATTCTTGTCCTTGAAATTCCAGGCATTCATTTTGAGGCAGCTGCTTCATTTTGAGAGTAGGGTAAGTAGGATGGTTACATAATCTACTCATAGTTATGCTTTCCCACTATTTTAAGCAGAAAACTGTAAGGGTTTAAAAATGACAATCTGCATATCTAAACAATATCATTAATTTTTTTTTTTTTTTAAGTTTTTGTCATAGGGCATGTGCGCTCGCCAGAGAGAGAGGGAAAGTGAGAAATCACCCTTCCGGGGGGGTGGGGGACTGTGGATGCACATGCCACAATCCCTTCTCCTCCATCTTTTCTCAGGATTTTGGGCATGCACGCACACATGCCTGGCATGATTTTCAAGCCACTGAGTTCAGGACTTGAACCATGCAAACAGCCATGTGCGATCTAGCACCCTAACCTCCATGTCCCCTGCTGGCCCCTCTAGTAAATACCATTATTTACCAGTAACAACATCAATAATAACAGCAAATTATAGTTAAATTTAATGTTTTACCCCCTATGTTAATTCTAGTCTAAAAAAGATCTTTATTTAAAGTACAATAGAAGCCTCTCTAATCTACATGCACATTGGTACCATCTTATACATTCATAACGAGAACATTTTCATAATACTGGGCCAACCTTGTATGTTATATTCTGGCAGTTCTCATCCACAGAAGCGTTAAGGACAGGAAACTGTAGTAATCCCAAGGAAGCAGCCTGTTTAAAAGAAAGAGAATTCAACTTTAACACTTTAAAACCAAAAGGGATGGTGGGAACCAGCAGTTAGCGTAATGGCTATGTCGCTGGACTTCCACGTAGTCAACCGCAGTTCAAGTCCCGGACCCGGTGGCTTAAAACTCATACCAGCTGTGTGCGTGCGTGCCCAAGATCCCGAGAGGAGAATGGAGAAGAGGGGATTGCGGCATGACCATCCCCCCTGAGGGGGTGATTTCTCACTTTCTGTCTCTATGTCTCTGTCTGTCTGGCGAGCGCATGTACCCAATAGCGAAAAAAAACTCTCAAAAAAAAAAAAAATCAAAAGGGACAGGGAAGTCAAAGCAATAAGAGGTATAAAAGTATGAGAAAGAGACCTCCTATTTATGCCAAGTTTAACTTCAAGCAGACATAAACCTAGGCTTATTTCTAAATGTTACCTCCAGGCAATCTGGAATTTAAGGTTATCATAATCCTTTCAAAATAAAAGACAAAGTAATCTGGGAGCTTATCAATTTCAAGGTTTTCAAAGTAACTATATGGACTGGCAAAAATTCCAAAGAAAACATCTAAATTCTTTTTTTTTTTTTTTTTTTTTTTAAATTTTTGCCACGGGGAATGTGTGCTCACTAAAGACAGAAAGAGAGAGGGAGAGAGAAAAGGCATTCCCCATGGGGGATGGTCATACCACAACCCCTTGTCCATTTCTCTATCTTGTCAAGATTCTGGGCACACATGCACATTCACCAGGTGTGTTTTTCAAGCTACTGGGCCCAGGACTCAAACAACAGGTTGGCCCATGTGAGATCCAGCTGCTTTAACCAGCAGTCCATGGAACTGGCCTGAAAATGTTAAATTCTCTCTTTTTTAAAAAAGAATGAATTATTTATTTAATTCTATTTGCTATTATTACTTTTTAATTTGACCAGAGAGAGACAGAGAGAAAGGGAAAACAAGAAAGCAAGCTGCCAGGTTCAGGACTCGAACCACGGCAGGCCTTGTGGAAAATGATTGCCTTTAACCATCATGCCATCTGCCAACCCTGAAAATGTCTAAATTCTAAGTGACTTCTTCCCTTACATGTAGTCTTAAGATTTCCATAAGAAGTAACCCTGTAGTTCAAAAATACACTTGGAGACCTGCTGGTTCAAGTTCTGGACCCAGTGACTTGAAACTCACACTGGGCGCATGTGCACATGTGCCCAAAATCCTGAGAGGAGAGTGGCGAAGAAGAGACTGAAGTATGGCCATCCCCTTAGGGGGGGTGATTTCTTGCTTTTTGTCTCTATCTCTCCAGCGAGTGTATGTGCCCTATATCAAAAATCTCTCTTAAAAAAAAAAAACACTCTGAGGGGCCAGCTGATGGTACAATGGTATTGCAATGACCTGTGATGCTGGATACACACAGGAAGGTCGGGGGTTCACATCCCAAGGCCTTCCTGTACACACTGGTGTGCATGCGTGTCTGTGATCTGGGCTAGCTGAAGCGGAGGGTGGGGAGGTTGTGGTGTGAAGACTCTGTTGAGGGTACCTGTCTCTCGATCTCTCCCTTCCTGTAACCCTCTCTTATAGAAGAAAAAAATAAACTTAAAATATATAGGAATTAAAACACGAAAAGGCAGGTAAGCTATCTCTCTGTGTAGGAAGAACACATAATAATTAGGATCTTGAAGTTTGCTGACTATTAGAGGGTAATATTCCACCTGGTGTCCTTGGCCAAGTGAAGAGCAGAGCTGGCATGAACATTTACTTCAGAGCCCGTCTCCCTGTATCGTATTTATGTCCCTCTCTGTCTTCTTCTCCCTTAAGCTCTCACCTTTTCTCTTTCCTTGTCTTAATAACATTGATTTTCTATCCATATTCAGATTTCCCTAAAATGGCATCTCTCACTTGTGTCTCCTCCATCTTTCTTTTTTCCACAAGATACAGACACGGAGAGACAGACAGTACCCCTGACACGGTCCTGACACTGTGATCTACCCCTAACCTGTAGCTGGCTCTAGGTCATGGGCATGTGTGTGCCCAGTGTACTCAAGAAGAGCTGAGAGCCTTCCCATATGGAAATGTCTCACTGAGTGTCACGTTTCCCACTGCACCATCATCTGGCCCTCCCAAAATGTTCTTGATAAGTTTCTTCCTCATTCAGGATCTAATCAATATTCACATTATATTTGGTGGTCATGCTTTGTAATAAATTTAAAAAGACAAGAAAATAAAAATGCTTAAGATTGTTCTTAAAAAATTCCTTCTCCCGGGAACCAGCAGTTAGCGTAATGGCTATGTCGCTGCACTCCCATGTAGTCGATCGTGGTTTGCGTCCCGGACCTGGTGGCTTAAAACTCACGCTGGGTGCGTGTGCGTGCGTACCCAAGATCCCGAGAGGAGAATGGAGAAGGGATTGCGGCGTGGCCATCCCCTCTGGGGGGTGATTTCTCGCTTTCTGTCTCTCTGTCTCTGTCTGGTGAGTGCACACACCCTATAGCGAAAAAACCTCTCCAAAAAAAAAAAAAATTCCTTTTCCCTACCCTCATCTAGTCTCATGAACAGTTCTTTATGCATATTTGTGTTAGTTTTTGTTTGTTGATTGGTAATCCTGACAGAAAAAAAAATCAAAGTGTTGAACTAAAGAGTTGAGGAAACTTAAATGTATATAGACCTTTTCACAGTGATTACTTTAGCTAAATTGGTTTAAGGAAGGAGATCCATGAAAGAAAAATGTAATTTACTAAAACCCAAATCATGTAAAAGAAAAAGTGAAATATATGACCATGGATTAGGGATTATTTTTCCCCTGTGTAAAACTCTGTAGTATTTTCAAATGTTCTTAAACTTATATAAAATGCTATTTCTTTTTAATTGCCAGAAGGCACCTGCACTCACCAGAGAGACAGACAGAAAAAGGGGAAGAAAGCACTCCCTAATGAGTTTTGGTCATGCTGTAATCCCTTCTCTGTTTCTCTGTTCTGTTGGGATTTGGGGCATACACACGGATGTGCTTGGCATGTTTTTCTTTCTTTTTTTTAATTAATTTTTTTTTTCTAGAGGGCATGTGTGCCTACCAGAAACAGATAGTGAGAGAGAGGGAAAGCGAGAAAGCAATCTCTATGGGTGATGGTCATACTGTATTCTCTTCTCCTCTATCTCTCCTTTTGAGATTCTGGGAATGCACATACATGCCCTGAGTCTGACACTTGAACCTTGCAGTTGGGCATACAGCCACCTTATCCACCATGCCATGGGCTGGACCCTGGCACATTTTTCAAGCCTTCTGGGTAAGGAGTCAAATCTCATGGTCAGCCATGTGGGATCTGGCTTCCTTAACCACTAGGCCATGGGGGTCCACATAAAATGTTATTTTAAAACAAATAAAGCATACTAAATTTTATTTTCAAAATAAAGATCAAGGCCTGCCCGTAGCACAACAGTTAGGAGCTGTGCAGAGGAAGCCAAAGCCTAAATATTTAAGCGTTGAATCCTGGTTCTGTTGGCTTTATACTGGGTAGTAGGCTCAGCACTCAGTGAAGAGACAAATGAGTAAACACTTGTAATAGGAGGAGATAAGTTGTAATAGCAAATAAAAGAGTATTTAACTAAACAGTGACAGCCACAGAAGCCTTCCTGGAAGAGTCTATTCCTGAACACGATTTGGTATTTAGGATGTGCAGGTATTTGATTAGGACAGGAAAGGGTATTTCAGGAAGAACTGTGTATTCCAGCAACTATGCGTAGCTCAATACAACTAAAACAGAGGGAGAAGCACCCATGAGAGAGAGAGGACTGGAGAGGCAGGCAGCAGAGATCTGTAATAACATTATGGCTTATGGAAGACCAACTTTGGTGCAGAATAGCAAAAGGGCTGGAAAGGAGTCACAGTAGAGTTAAAGACATCAGTAGGCACTTTTGAGTTAAAAAAAAAATAGAACCTGAAAATGCCTCCTCCATTTGTTAGCTGTAAATCTTTAGTAAGTTTCTAACATTTCTGAGCCCCAATTTCTATAAATGGAAAGTGGGAACAGTAACATTTATATGTCTAGGTGGTGGTGAGAATTAATAGACAAAGTAGATTTAACATGCTCAGAACAGGGCCTGGCACAGGGCCTGCTTAAACGGTCATGAATGGGGGCCAGACTATGAGCTGCTCAAGGTCGGCCAAAGCTCTTTTTCCACTTACACTGGTCACAAGGCCTAGCACTAGAAATGATTCCAAGGAGCCTCCATATAAATCTGTTGAATAGATAAAAATAAATGCATGTCTGTGATATGCAAAAGCAATACCAAGTCTCATTTTCGTTCAAATCAAGAATTTGTCTGAATGACTCTTTGGCATTAAAGGTTTCAGTTAATTGGCAGGACAATCTCTACCGAGCTCAAAAGAGCTAAGTTGATAAAATATGACACAAAAATTTCGATTTTCTAAGTTCCTGTGAAAGAAAGACATAGTGCCTCTGCACATTTTCTAATTACATGATGTGAAGAGAAGTAATAATTTGATTCAAACCCATATTAAGACATTGAATCCTTGCCAAAACAAAATTTCCAAGTCCTATTCAAGCCTTGATTGAAATGAAGGAACTCTTACCTTTAAGAAAAAAGGCATAAAAGAGAGTTTAATCCCACGAGCCAAAGCAATAGGTTTTAACTCTTCTCGTAGCTTAACCAGTTCAGTAAGGTCAACCTCATCACAGTAGCCGAAATGGGGTATCTTCAGGGCGGCAGACATGGTCTTGACCATTGCTTTCTGAAAACCTGGAAGACATTCGATTGTTCGTTCTTTATTAAAATTCTTAAATCCTTTTTTTAAAAACTAAAACAAAAGGTTCTCTAGTGTCGTTTACTCTCAATTAAATTCTTCCTCAAGTCATCTTCATTACATTATATTGCATTGAAAGTCATTAATTTAATAAGTCAGGCACAGAAAGAGAAATAGCACATGTTCTCATTCATGTGAGGGGATCTCAAGTTTGTGGAAGATAAAATACAAATATGAGTTTATTTTGGTGCAAAAAAACCCTGAAATCCACCCACACCTGTTTAATATTATAAAACCAGTAGGACACATTTTCCATGAACTTTCTGGAGACCACTTCCCTTGTATGAGGAAGCTGAAAAAAAAAAAAAAAGGACCACATAAAAGGAGAGAGGAGAATAGGGGCGGCCAGAGGCAGGGACAGCAGGAGAGTTGGCTGAGAAGGTCGTGACATGTCGGTTAATGGGTTACAGGATTTCTTTATGGGGTGATGCAAATATTCTGGAATTACTTAGTGCTAATAGTTATATAATATTTTAAATGTACTAAAAGCCACTTTATGATTTTGAATGATTAAAATGGCATATGCAATTTGAATAAGAAATATGTGCAGAAAGGGAGTAAGGAAGGAAGAAAGGAAAGAAGGTCAAAGAATCAACTGATTTCCAAGTTGAAGCCCAGGCTGGACACCCAGCGGGCAAGTACAATAACACAGTAGGAGACTGCTCCAAATTCCATGGTGTATAAAACACTCAATAGGATATAAACCATGGATTTACCTACTAGCTTCCTTGCAAAGCTAATTATCTTAAGAGTTTATAAATAACACATTGGAACTGGTTATTTTGAAAGCTAACTAAAAATCTGAATGTTTAACATATCCTGAGCAAGTCTCCAAATGGAAAAATTACTTACATTCCAACAAACCTGCTAACATATTACACTTAAGAAATTAACAGTACATATAAGTCAGAGTTTCCTGATAACCATTTTTTAAAAAAAGCGCTGATTTTGAACTTTCCCTTTGATAAATTAAAAATACATTATATACATGCACCTATTGAAGTAGCTTCCCCCCCAATAAATGTTCTGTTATTGTTAATTATTGCTACCATTATTACCTTTTATGGGTTCTGTTTTGTCTTTGCCTGTGAATACTGGAGGTTTTGATACTGGCATGGGAATGGTCTTATCTTTTGGTTTTGGCGGAGGTGGCACAATTTCAGCTTTTGGTGAAGGCGGCAATATAGCTCCCGTCTGTTTTTCCAGATAGTTCAGGATATCTTCTTTCAGTATTCTGCCATCTTTTCCTGAGCCAACAACTTCACTCAACTTAATCTGAAAAAACGATGCATTTTGTTGCTAAAAATACAACTACCTAAAAATAAATAAATCCTGGGCCAGCTAGTAGCATGATAGTTAAGATACTAGATCTCATGTGGCCAACTATGTGGTTCAAATCCCAGATTCAGCAGCCTGAGAAAAACGTGGGTATGTATGTGTGCGTGTGCACATGTGTGTGCGTATATGTGTGTGTATGTGTGTGTGTGTATGTGTGCCCAAAATCTCAAGGGGAAAGTGGAGAAGGGCCTGCAGCATGGGAATGCTTTCTCCTTTTCATTTTTCTCTCTCTATCCCCCTCTCAATCTCTCTCTCTGGTGAGTGGATGTGCCCTACAGCAAAAAAATGATAATAAATCCATCATTGAAATTTCAAAATGAAATTTAATCAACTGGTGAGAAAAACATCTTTGTGTCCCAAAATACAGGGAAATAACATTTTATCATCTTATTGGATAAGCTACAGCTACTCTATAGAGGTAATCACGTTACTTTCACATACACTGTTCATTTGCCCATGTGGTAACTATGAGGCATATATGTTACATAATTCATAACTATTTATGAAAACTTGCAATTTCAAATATTCAGTTATTTATAAATCTCTTCAATAATTTTTTTCTTCCTTCTTTTTTGTCCTTCCTTCCTTCCTCTCTCTCTGTTTTTGCCAGAGTACGTGTGCTTCTCTCTAGAGAGAAAGAGAGGAAAAGAAAAAATACACCCCAATAGGGTGTGGTAACACTGAAATCCCCTCTCCTCCATCTCTCCACCCTGTTAGGATTTGGGGCATGCATGTAAATGTGCCTTGCATGTTTCTCAAGCTGCCAGGCCAGGAAATCAGGCCATGTAGTCAGCCATATGGGATCTGGCTCCCTTTACTCCTAGGTCACAGGCCTGCCCCAAATCTCATATATGACTTATCTTTTCTGTTCTTAGAGATTACATATAAAGAGAGAAAAATAAAAATTTAAATTAAAAAAAAATACAGTAACAAATGTGGACCCGTATTTTTGACATTTGGCTACCAGTTAAACATATAATAGATTAATAATCATGATACAAAAGTTCTGTCAAATTTTTTTTCCCCTTGATGGCTGCTTTGGAAATATCAGTACAAAACATTCAATTCTATTAAAATAAAAATAAACATGTAAACTTGAATGATATCCTTATACGTAGTGTATATGAATTAATTTCGTAGGAGTAAGACTCACTTCATTTCTATTAGTGAATCTCTAAGGATGACTTTTAAAAAATGAAGATCTTTATTACATCAAGTGGTAAGTTTATAACAAATGAACAAATAATTTTTAGATAATTACAAATAACTGTAAATGCCAACAGTTTTTAATTTTAAATGAACTCAATTCATAAATATGCAAACTGCAAGAAAAAGGGTGACTTATAATAAAAACCATTATTTTATTTTCAGAAATTATATACATCTTTAAAAAGTGTTATGAGAGAGCAAATCATGATTCCTTCTATAGGTATTCTAGCTATATTATTATAATTTTTTAAAGAATTATTCAGAGGCCAGCAGGGACACTCCCACATGGCCAACCATGGTTTGAATCCTGGACCTGGTGACTTGCTTTCTCACTTTCCCTCTCTCTCTGTGTCTCTCTCTGGTCAAATTAAAATGAATGAATAAATTAAATTAAATAATTCTTTTAAAATAATTATTGAAATTATTATCAATGATAATTATTGATAATTAACATATCACCAATAATTAATACATTATTAAAATTAATAGTTATTATGTAATGTAACAGATGATAATAAATTAAATAATAAATTGTTAAATTAATAATAATAAATTACTTAATTTACTATTATTGTTTGATTTGCTATAGAGTATGTGTGCTTACCAGAGAAAGACAGAGAGAGAGAGAGAGAGAAAGGGAAAGTGAGAAAGTAAAGTGACAGTCATGTGGGAGTCCAGTGCCCTTAACCACCATGCCACCTGCTGGCCCCTCTATCTATTTTATTGAGGGAAAAAAAGTTGGTAAAATGCTTCACAGCTTTTAAAGTGATATATCAAATAAAGTTCCATATTATTATTTCTATTCTCTGTTAAGCTAAATGGTCTTCATATATGAACACACTTAATGATTACATAAGGCTGCATCAAGGATATATAACACGATTTAGCTAAGCATTTCCCTGCTTTTTAAAAATTTGCTATAGGCCATGTATACTTGCTAGAGAGAAATGGGTGAGAAGGGGAGTGGGAAAGCAGGGCCAGGGGGATGGCCATGCCACAATCCCGTCTCTTCTTCTCCATACTTTTTCCAGGATTTTGGGCATGCATGCACATATGCCCAGCATGTTTTTCATGCTGCCAGGTCCAGGACTTGAACTGTGCAGTTGACCATATGTGATACAATTACCTTAACCACCATATACCTGTCTGGCCCACATTTCCCTGATTTTGAACACATACACATATCTTCTAATTTTTGACTATATAAAATACAAAGAAGAATGTACCCTAGATTATTTTCTTGACATGGTTTTCCACTCGCAGGATAAATGACTGAAAGGATATAAACATTTTAACTATTTGATTATATTATTTCAAATATGTAAACTTTTTTTTTTTTTTGCTCACACTGTAACTTAACTACTTTTCTTAAAAATAGGCAAACAAAAAATTTGCATTGCAGGGGAAGAACCTAGGCTTTGGAACCAGAAAAGGTTGTATTCCAAACCCCAGTTCAAAACAGTTAATTTTAAACAAGTTACTTGACCTCCCTCTACCCTTTCTCATCAGCAAAATGGGGATAAGTCAACCCCTCTGCAGGGCTGTTGTGAGGATCAGAGATGATGTGTGCATAGAGTCTGGCACACACCTGCTCAGATGATGGAGGTAAGGCGGTTGAAGCAGTATGCAATGTCAGGTGCACTGTTTTTAGAGTAACATAGACTCACTTTTTTTTTTCAGAGAGGTTTTTGCTATAGGGCGAGTGCTCTCGCCAGAAAGCCAGAGAGAGACAGAGAGACAGAAAGTGAGAAATCACTCCTTGGGGGGATGGCTACCACATTCCCTTCTCCTCTATTCTCCTTTTGGGGTCTTGGGCACGCATGAACACGCACCCTGTATGAGTTTAAGCCATTGGGCCTGGGACTTGAACCGTGGTCAACTACGTGGGAGTCCACCGACATAGCCACTACGCCAACTGCTGGTACCCATAGACTCACATTTGAATTTTGTTCTGCTGTTAACCATGTGACCTTGAACTAGTTACTTAACCTCTACAAGTCTTAGAGTCCCTTATCTCACAGTTAATGTATAAATAACTTATCACAGTGCCAGGGACTGCCCTCCATTCAGTCAATGACTGGCAAAGGGAATACAAAGCTGGCCTCCTTGCCTCAAAGCAGAACAATTCTGTGGTTCCCCCACCCCCTCCAAATTAGGCCAGATCCTTTTTTTTGTTGTTTTTTTAGAGAGGTTTTATTGGTATAGGGTGTGTACACTCGCTGGAGAGGCAGAGAGAGACAGAGAGACAGAAGTGAGAAATCACTCCCCAGAGGGATGGCCATGCTGCAATCTCTTCTCCTCCATTCTCCTCTCAGGATCTTGAGTAAGCATGCACATGCTCCCTGTGTGTTTTAAGCCACTGGGTCTGGGAGTCAAATCACGGTCAGTTGAGTCCAGCGTTGAGAGTCCAGCGACGTAACCATTACACCATCTGCAGGTCCCGAGATCCTTGATGCAACATCCACACCTGGCCCATTTCTATTCTCTTCACTTTCCTATCCTGCATGCCGCATTCTCTTTACAGGTTTCCAACTCTTCAGTTGGAATTCAATTCAATTGAATGCATCCAAATTCCTATCTCTAGCTGTGCTTCTAGAGCACCTCATCTAAGACACTGGTATTCAAAAGTACTCAAAAAATGGTATCTCTTGTTGTTCTTAGGCTCTAAGAAAGACTAATAAAAACCACATGAGGGGACTTCAGAAAGTTCAAGGAAAATAAAAATTAAAGTACAACTTTATTGGGGCCAGCAGGGGTGGTTATGGCACTAGATCAACTGTGGCTTGAGTTCTGGACCCAGTGGCTTGAAAATCATGCTGGGTGCATATGCATGCTTGTCTAAAATCTCAGGAGGAGAATGGAGGAAAAGGAACTGTGACATGGCCATCTCCCAGGGAGTGATTTCTCACTTTACCTCTCACTGACTATCTCTTTCTGTCTCTCTCTGGCAAGTGTACATGCCCTATGGCAAAAACCTAAAAAAAAAGAAAGAAAGAAAGAAAGAAAGAAAGAAAGAAAGAAAGAAAGAAAGAAAGAAAGAAAGAAAGAAAGAAAAAAACGTAAACTTTATTTTGGTGCAAAAATTTTTGAAATCTGGGCTCACCTAGTGGTTAAGGGAGTCAAATTCAACATGGACAAACAGTTCTAATCCTAGCCACAAAGGCTTGAAAAAACACACCAGGTACAAGTGCACATGTGCCCAAAATCCTGATAGGAAGGAAATGGAGAAGAAATTGAGGCGTGATCTCACCGTACTTGGAAGGGGTGGTTTCTCTCTCTCTGACAAGTGCACATGACTCCTGGTAAATTAAAAAAAAAAGGGGGGACCAGCAGTTGGCGTAATGGCTGTGTTGCTGTACTCCCATGGAGCCAACCGCAGTTCACGTCCTGAACCCAGTGGCTTAAACTCACATCAGGCGCCTGTGTGTGCATGCCCATGTGCCCAAGATCCCAAGAGGAGAATGGAGAAAGGATTGCGGCACGGCCATCCCCCCTGGGGGGTGATTTCTCGCTTTCTATCTCTCTGTCTCTCTCTGTCTTTCTGGTGAGCACACGTGCCCTATAGCAAAAACCTCTCCAAAAAAAAAAAAAGAATGTACTTTTTTTCATAATATGCATTGTCTATGAACTTTTGAATACCTTTTATACTGTTTAACTAGTATTAAATAATAACTTCATAATTTCTTCTCATTTTTCCTCGGTACTTTCATGCAGCTATCACCTTTTATAGCAGACATCTTCATGTTTTCTTTAATCCTAACTTAAGCCATTTCATATAGGATGGCTGACTAATGTACCAGGTATACATGCACATTTTCTATTGCAGTTTCAGGCTAAAATATAACAAAGGCTTACATTGTTTTCCATTGCAAGACGGCGAACCGCAGGCGTTGCCAGTGTTTTTTGGCCCTTTATCTCCTGGTGTGTGTGTTCATCATGGGACACGGCAGGAGTTTCAACAACATCTTCTTCTGAATCTGATAACAAGGTAAGGGTTGGCTTCAGGTGAATGTTTTTTTTTTTTTTTTTAAATCAGTATCCTATCAACGCTAAATCAATTCAACTTAAAGTAAAGAGCCAAAATGCCTAAGAGTGGAGCTACTTCAGAATAGAAAAACATACAATTACCCTGACAGGAGGGATGGAGGGGAGAGTATATGGTACCTGGTACTGTTTAATTAATTATTAGTACCTGGTATATACTTTATTTCTGTTAAAATAGTCTATCAGCTACAAGTTAAAAAACAAGTTACAGGGGCCAGCAAGTGGCATGGTAGTTAACACACTGGACTCCCACATGGCCAATAGCAGTTCAAGTCCTGGACCTGTTGGCTTGCTTTCTGCCTCTCTCTGTCTCTCTCTGGTCAAATTCGAAGGAAGGAAGGAAAGAAGGAAGGAAAGAAGAAAGAAAGTTAAAATTAACAACAACAACAACAACAACAAATAAGTTATAGGCATGTGTGTGTGTACCCAAGATCCTGACAGGATGGAGAAATGGAGAGAAAAAAGGATTGCAGCACAATACGACCCTATTGAGGGTTGCGCTCTCTCCCCATCTGTTTCATGCACACACATGGCCTTTGGCACTTTTTTTAAATGAGTTTTTTCCATAAATTTTTAAATATATTGTATTATAAATAGTTTCCTAATAAAGTTCTTATTTATATTTAAATAGCACGAAATAAGAATCAAACATCAAATAAACTGTATGAAAGAATCATAATTTGTGAGATGCCATAGCTGTTGCTAACTGGTGGTTTTATTATCTAATTTTGTAGTCCTGGTATAACAAAAACTATCCCAGACTATTCGCATGTTATTTTGCAAGCAAAAAAAAAAGTAAATGTTTTTCAGAGCATTTAATTGTTGAAGTCTGCTGTCAGGAATTCAATGATGTGTAGCAGAAACTCTCTGAATTGTTAGAGACTAATGAACTTTTGAAAATCAGGACACAATTAAGTTTGCTTTGACATTCAATTCTAAGCAAATTAAAAACTCTCCACTGCTGCAATGATGGAAAAGCATCTCATTCATTACTTCTTGCTAGTCTGTGAATTGGCCTAGTGGTGCTCTAAAATTCCCTGAGGGTAAGGAAGGGAGAGTAAAACAAACAAATTTGTATTGAGCATACATTAGGCATCAATATATTAGGAAGTATCTTAATTTAATCTTCATTCCAATGTATAAGACAGGTGCTATTATCTCGAACTTACTGATTGTTAAAAAGTGAGGCTTGCGAGAGGAAAGGATTGGCCCAAAGTCACACACCTAATAAATCTAAGAGCTGAAATGCAATCCTAGAGCTGACACAGTCTCTGTCCTTTCCATCAGATCATGGCCATAGTAAATTTTTTTTCTGGCAAAAGTAGCTGGAAGTACACCTATTATTGAATAAGACAAATCCAAAAGCTGCAACATTCTGCAAAACAAAAGGACATCTCTTCCAGTCAGTGTCCTGAAACAAAATGTAGGGGAGGATGAGCTAGACTCAAAGAGACTTGGGACGCAATAACCAGGTGTGATACATGGTTTTGCACTGGATCCCAGTGTGAAAAAAAAAGGTGACATTTCAAGAATATTAGGGAGCAATTAAGAAAATTTAAGTATGGTCTGGTAGTCAGATAAAATACAAAATGTACTGTCAATGAAGACAGGTCATAAACTATGCAAACAGATTAAACTATGGCATATACAATATTATTATTTGGGTAAAATAATACCCCTATGTATATATGTACTAGAAAAATGTCTGATATAATATACACTAGTATTATTAGGAGTGTGATTTCTCAGTAATATGTTTTTATTTTATTTTTGTTTGTCTGTATTTCAGAACTTTCTATAATGCACATATCCTGCTTTCATAATGAAAAAAATTAAATAACAGGAGCCTTCAAAAATCCATCTTCCAGCTTTTGGAGGCACCATGTGATAGCAGAAAATATTCTGGACAAGGACTCAGGACATCTAAGTTCTACATTTGGCCCTGTCACTGATCACTGAGCAAATAAATGGTCCAACCTTTCTAGCTGAGATTATTTCCTTCATTTGCCAAACTGGAATACCTCATGGGTAAGGATAAACAAAATATTAGGTGTACATTATAATTATAAAATGCAATTCTGAAAAAAGTGATTATAATATTAGTTTTTTTTTTTTCTTAATTTACTATTGACTTTGAGTCAATCCTTTCTTCTCTCAAGCACACTCTTTTTCCTCTCTCAAGCACATCTCATATGCTTACAGGAGAGAGACAGAGAAAGTGAGAAAACACCCTTTGGGAGAATAGCTACTCTACAGCCCTTTCTCTTCCAGTCTCCTCTCAGGATTTTGGGCCTGCATGTATACACATCTGGTTTTTCAAGCAGCCTGGTCCATGATTTGAATGGTGCAGTCAGCCACGTAGGATCCAGCCATCTTACCCACGGCACCTGGCTGGCCCTATGACATTAGTTATCATTGTATAGCCACAGGACTAAGAATCAGCCAGACACTGAAACTGAGATACTCCTTTGAGACTTTTGAATCACATTTCTAAAATACCTACCCCAAGCCCTTCCCAGATAGAATGTTGGCTGGCCTGAGAGTCTTATCATAGAAGTTATTGCTCTTCTACCACCTGATACCAAAGCTGTTTCCCAGACGTATGACAACAGTGCAGTAGGAACTTCTTAGAGAGAGAGTTGCCCAGATAGGGGTCTGCCCAGACCTGTAGTTTCCCTCTGTTACAGTCTCATAATCATTTCCCTGTTGACAGAACATCTACTGTTGTAAGACCTATCATGGCTACTGTTTCTGAATGCTCGTCTCCATTTCCATTCTGATTTTCCTTCTTTTCTCTTCAGTGTCTCTTGGAGAAGTCTGAATTTTATAACCGTCACTGAGAGTGGTTTTTTGGTCAGGTTTCTTTTTTTTTGTATCAGTGGCAAACAGAGCAACCCCATAACATTAAATTAAATATTTATATATACTTATTTCTTTTTCTTAGTGATCAGTATTGAGAGAGCTTGTTTCTTTTTTAAATGTTAATTTCTAGAAGGTAGTCCTCTAGATAAGTAGGTGTTACTGTGCATATTTTAAACATACTAACTGGTCAAAAGATAATCATGCATCATAGACAAGCTTTTCAATTTTCCTGATTCTGGTTTTTAAACCTCCAACCAAAGTCCTATGTTATTAAAAGTAAAAAAAATCACTCTCTATTGGGATATAATGATAAAAAGATAACCGTAAGCAATTTGGTAAAACAGATGAACAAGTTTAGAGTACCTTTTAAGGCTTCCGTTTCTATGTCTACTAATGGCTTTCCCACATAGGCAATATCGTCTAGATTATAATACAGTTTTTTAATGACGCCATCATAACGACTAGTGATGGTAACAGAAGCTTTATCACTTTGCACTTCACAGATGCTGTCAAACTGAGACACTGTATCTCCTTCTTTTACATACCTAAAAGAGAAAGACACAAGTCACTTCCATGTAAGCAATCGTAGGTAAAGATCACTGTAACGATGAAAATGTCACAGAGAGTGAGATTCATAACCATCTAGTCCAGCATTTACCTCCGACTGGTGCACCAGTGAATGTTTCCGAAAGACTACTGTGGCTTTCAGAGTCTCTTTAATGTATCTCTAAAAAGTATTAAACTTTTAATATTAAACATATTAATATTAATAACGGGAGATTAAGTTGCTGGACAGCAGATTATGTTGCTGGACTCCTACACAGTTGACCTTGGTTCGAGTCCTGAACCTGGTGGCTTAAAACTCGTACCAGGTGCATATACGTGATTGCCCAAACTCCTGAGGGGAGAATGAAGGAGAAGAGACTGCAGTGTGGCCATTGCCCCTGGGGCTGATTTCTAGTTTTCTGTCTCTCTGGTAAGCGCACGTGCCCTATACCAAAAATCTCTAATAAAAATTAAAAAAAAAAAAAGAAAAGGAAGGAAGGAAGAAAGAAAGGAGTATTAAAATTTTGAAGCCACACATAAATTTGTAATCCAAAAGTCTGAACTTTCAGATTTTCTGTTAGATCCATTTCCTGGAAAAAGTTCTAAAATTTTATTTTTAAAGTGATATTTTCTTTTATTGTCTTCTATCACTCTTTTTCAAACTTTATGGGATGCCTATTACTTCTAGAATTGAGTAAAAAAAAAAGATGTTCTCAAAACAAATCCTTTGTTATGAATTTTAGGCAGGAAGTTCTTTCAGTCTTTCTTTCTGGAATTATTATAACCTGTCCTTGCATTTATTTATTTATTTATTTTAAGATTTATTTATTCATTCATTCCTTCCTTCATTTTAATTTGACCAGAGGGAAACACAGAGAGAGAGAGGAAAGTGAGAAAGCAAGCCACCAGGTCCAGGATTCAAACTGTGGTTGGCAATGTGGGAGTGTCCAGCGCCTTAACTGCCATGCCACCTACTGGTCCCTGCATTTATTTATTTAATTAATTTTTAAAAATTATTAAAAGTATAGACACCATTTTTTTAATTAATTGATTTTTTGTTTATTATTAGAATTATTTTAAGTTTTTTACAGGGCACGTGTGCTCACCAGAGAGAGAGAGAAAGCAAGAAAGCCAGCCACCAGGTCTGGGACTTGAACCGCAATCAGCTATGTGGGAATCTAGCACCTTAACCATCATGCCACCTGCTTACTCTTGTCCTTGCATTTAAGTCATTTTATATTGTTGATCATTTTAGGTATGCTTTATAAGACTTTATAAAAATTTTTGGCTAGGGACCGGCAGTTAGCATAATGGCTATGTCGCTGGACTCCCACGTAGTTGACTGCGGTTCAAGTCCCAGACCCAATGGCTTAAACTCACGCCGGGCGCGTGTGTGTGCGTGTCCAAGATCCCGAGAGGAGAATGGAGGAAAAGGGATTGCAGTGTGGCCACCCCCCCTGGGGGCAGGGATTTCTTGCTTTCTATCTTTCTGTCTCTCTCTGTCTATCTGGCGAGTGCACACACCCTATAGTAAAAACCTCTCCAAAAAAAAAAAGTTTTTGGCTAGAGGGAGAGTGTGTTGGCCAGAGACAGAGAGGAGGAGAGAGTACATGATGATTTTAAAATATTTTGGAAAGGAATTCTAAGATCACACATTAAAGACTTTCAAAAACACATGGTCCCAGGCCAGGTGAAGGTGTGGTTAAGGTGGCTGGATCCCACATGCCTAACTGCACAGATTAAGTCCTGGACCTGGTGGCTTGAAACACGCCAAGTGTGTATGCATGTATACCTAAAATCCCAAAAGGATGGAGAAAAGGAAAAGAAGGGACTGTGGGGTGATCATCGCCTTTGGGGGATGCTTTCTTATTTCCTCTCTAGTGGGTGTATGCACCCTCTGGCAAATTTAAAAAAAGCAAAAGAAAACACATGGTTCCAATTGATGGTAATGATAAATGTTTGAGATGATGGGTATGCTAATTATCCCAATTTAATCATTACACATTGTATTGATAATTACAATGTACCCATAAATGTGTACAATTGTTAAATGTCAGTTATTAATGAATGAATTAATTAATTAGCTTTTTTAAAAAGTGAGGCCAGCAGATGGTGTAGTGGTTACATCACTGAACTCCTACATGGTCAACAGTGGTTTGAGTCCTGGACCCAGTGGCTTGAAACTCATACTAGATGCATGTGAGTACATGCCCAAGATTGCAGGAGGAGAATGGAGAAGGGACTGCAGCACCATCACCTCCCCTTAGGGGTGATAGTGATTTCTTAATTTCTCACTATCTCTGTCTCTCTCTCCAGAAAGTGCACATGCTCTATGGCCAAAACCTCTAAAAATAAAATAAAATAAAATAAAATAAAATAAAAAGCTATATGGGCTGGGGCGGGCAGGTGGTATAGTGATTAAAGGCGCTGGACTCCCACATGGCTGACCATAGTTCAAGTCCTGGACCTGGTGGCTTGCTTTCTCACTTTCCCTCTTTCTCTTTCTCTCTTTCTCTCTCTGTGTCTCTTTATCTCACTTTCTCTTTCTGGTCAAATTAGAAAGTAATAATAGTAATAATAATAATAATAATAAATGAAGTTAAATAAAATAATTCTTAAAAAAAAAAAAAGGCTATCTGGGCACAATGACATGTTCTGTAATTCCAGCTATGGATAGGCTGAGACAGGAGGATCACAAGCTTGAGGCCAGTCTAGACAACATACTAACACCCTATTTCTAAAAATAAATTAATAAAATAAATAAGTAAATAAATAAAACCCACACATGATTTTCTATCAATATATTTTTTAAAGATTCTTTTTTTTTAAAAGGTTGATTCTTCCTTTTTTTTAGGTGTGGGCAATGAAGGGGTTTTTAAGAAAGGAAAGGTAGGGGGACTAGCAGTTGGTGTAATGGCTATGTCGCTGGACTCCCATGTAGTTGACTGTGGTTCGCGTCCCGGACCCGGTGGCTTAATTTTACACTGGGTGCATGTGCATGTGTGCCCAAGATCTTGAGAGAAGAATGGAAGAGAAGGGATTGCAGCGTGGCCATCCCCCCGGGGGATGATTTCTCGCTTTCTGTCTCTCTGTCTGTCTCTGTCTGGCGAGCGCACATGCCCTATAGCAAAAACCTCTTAAAAAAAAAAAAAAAAGAAGAAAGAAAGAAAGGAAAAATAGGGATCGGCAAGTGGCATGGTGGTTAAGGGTGCTGGACTCCCACATGGCCGACTACAGTTCGAGTCCTGGACCTGGCTGCTTGCTTGCTCTCTTTCTCTCCTTCTGTCCCTCTCTAGTCAAATTAAAATAAACAAACAAATAAATAAATAAATTTAAATAAAATAATTCTTTAAAAAAAGGAAAAGTAATTCTTAATAAATCAGATTGAATAAAATGCCTTGACAAATGATAAATTCTCTCAGTAGCCAATTGGCAAACACAAAATAATTCTCATTGGGGCCTGTGGGTGACAGAATTGTTAAGCTGCTGGACTCCCACATTGCTGACTGTGATTTGAGTCCTGGATCTGGTGGCTTGCTTTCTCACTCACTCCTTCTCTTTCTCTCTCTGTCTCTCTCCCGAGCCAAGTTTAAAAATAATAATAATTATAATAAATAAAATAAAATAATTCTAAAAAAATAGATTCTCTCTTATTTGTATTGCAAAAATCCACTGCCTCGTTTAAAGTTTCTCAATTAAAATCACTCCCTACTTTGTATTCAATTTGTTTTTACATTTACTTAAAACATTTTTGTTTCTAAATTAACTTACCATTCTTTAACAGTTACTTCTCTAATCCCTTCTCCGATGTCTGACAATTTGAACTGAACAACTTGTCCATGCAAAGCTTCAAAGACAAAAGAGAAATTAGCTCATTAAATATGCAATGTATTACTAATAGATGCTCTTATATCTAAAATTTTAAAATGTTCTCAAACAGTGACAGAAATTGCTCTGCCCCATAGAGAGAGAATAGCATCTGGCCATTTTTAAAAGTATAATCATTATACATAACCATCAAAGATTTAAATAAATTAGAGGACACAGAACTAATGACACTGCCATGCAACTTACATTTTTCCAATTCTCAACCAATTCTCTCTCTCAGGGTTGTAAAAGCCTCTACAAACAAATTAGTCAGATTTTGAAACAATAGTAATAAACAGAAAATGGAACAAAGATATTATACAAAGAGGCCAACTGTATCTTCTTCATTTATGTTATGAAACTATAAAAATCATAATGGGTTTATTTCAGTTGGATTCTTTTGATTTCATAAAACTAACTATTCTCATTCTTAGTAGCTAAAAATCAGCCAGTTTTATATCTAGCAGACTGGATGAAAAATTCCTATTTGCTCAAACTATGTCCTGCCAACTTATCTCTAAGGTTTCTCTTTCCTCTTCCATTTTCTTTCTTTCTTTCTTTTTTTTTCCCTTTTTTTGGAGAGGTTTTTTTTATAGGGCACGTGCACTCACCGGAAAGACAGAGAGAGAGAGACAGAAAGTGAGAAATCACCCCGCAGAGGGGATGGCCACGCCACAGTCCCTTCTCCTCCATTCTCCTCTTGGGATCTTGGCCACACACACACACGCGCCCGGTGTGAGTTCAAGCCACCACGTCTGGGACTTGAACCGCAGTCGACTACATGGAAATCCAGCGACAAAGCCATTATGCTAACTGCTGGTGCCTCTTCCATTTTCTTATCCTTTTCAAATTTTTACACTTTTTTTTTTTAAAAAAAGAAGTACTTATTTTATCATTATTATTATTTATTTAATTTGACTATAGAGAGACAAAGACAGAAAGAGAAAATAAGAAAGCAAGCTGCCAGGTCCAAGACTTGAACAGTTGGTGATGTGGGAATCCAACACCTCAATTACCACACTACCTGCCAGTCCCTCTACCCCTTGTTTTATAAAACTTAGATGTCAACGATACTATTGGGTTATGTGGAAAGTCATGACGCATTTTTGCATAGAAAAACGGAATACGTTATGACTGTCGCGATGACCTGATAGTAATTATTCCCAAAAGAGAAACTACTCCTGGTCAGCAGAAAGCATGTACGGGTCAGGATCCTTAGCGTACCAGTTAAGTGCTGTGTATAGAAAGTCTAATCACACATGGCACACAGTGATTTGAAAAGATGTCAGCACGTGTACATGGGTGCACAACATCCTGAAGGGAGGAGAAATGGAGGAAAAAGGAATGTTGCATGATTGCAGGATGAGAGACCCATTGCAGGGTGCTCTCAGTCGCTCTCTGGCATGCACACATATCCTGGCGATTAAAGAAGGGGGAAAATGTATGTATGGATCCTGGCACTTTTCCATGTTAACAAATGGCTCTGAACATATTCAGAGGTGCTCCTCTATCTGTAGGCTGCTATTAACCATAATTTCTCATAAAATACACATGTCAATTAAAGATATAAAATTTTAATAAACTGAGGATTTAAGTTGGTGGAGAAATATAAAATACAATGTGGATATGGAAGTTATCAGTTACTTCTCATTTCCTCCCTACGGAGCTGGGCCTGCTCACAGCACGCTTTCACCCAGCCTGTTGCTCGGAGTATTTAAACTGGCCCCTTTCTCAAAAGGAGTTTGGCACTAAGTACCAAAGGCCTTGTATTTTTTTTTTTAAGTGTGTATATTTGTGTTTTTAAATTCTATTTATTATCCTTATTATATTTATTTGTTTATTTAGTTTTAATTCGTCCAGAGACAGAGAGAAAAAGTAAGAAATCAAGCCTCTAGATCTGGAACTCAAACTGTGGTCGGCCACGTGAGAGTCTAGCACCTTAACCACCACATGACCTGCAGGTCCCAAGTGCATGTATTTGACTTGATCCATAATCCACTTTTTCCCTGGAAATACTTACAGAGGTACACAAAGATTGGTGCTAAAAGATGGTTACTATATGGCTAAAAGAACTAGAAAGTAAACAAAAAATTACAAGTCAGTTCACCAAAGCAGTATTATATTGGGTCATTGGGAAAATCATGTGTTCTTCTACACAAAAGTGTGTCATGACTTTCCTAATGCAAGGTATAGCAAGAACACGGGAATGGGGTAGTGCACAGTAAGGTTAGGGAATGACAAAGGTTTCCACATCACTGAAGATAGGGTATGTGGCCAGAAATCAGCTCATATTTAAAAAGGCTCTCTGGGGCTGACTCCGTGATGCAGTGGTAATGTGCTGCTCAAGAAAAGCCAAATTCCATGGGACCAGCAGATGGCGTAATGGTTACATCACTGGACTCCCATGTAGTCGACTATGGTTCGAGTCCTGGACCTGTTGGTTTAAACTCATGCAAGATGCGTATGCATGTGTGCCCAAGATCCCGAGAGGAGAATGGAGGAGGGGGTACAGCATGGCCATGCCCCCAGGGGGAGTAATTTCTTGCTTTCTGTTTCTGTCTCTCTGGTGAGCGCATGAGTCCCATAACAAAAAATAAATCTTAAAGAAAAAAAAATGATAGCTGAAGTCCAGCGCTGCCCTGTGACCCTGTGGGTAAGAAAGCTGGATCCCACATAGCTGACTATGCTCTGAATCCTGGCCCTGGTTGCCTAAGAACCATGCTGAGTTCTTATACATGTGCCCCAAATCCTGACAGAATGGAAAAAGGGAGAAGGGATTATAGGTGTAACCATGCCCCATCTGGGGTGCTTTCTCTCTCTCCTCTTCCTCTATGTCTCTCTCTAGCAAGGACATGCACCCAATGGTGAATAAAAAAAATAAGAAATGAAAAACCAGATCTTACATGGCAGCTGTAGCTCAGATCCCTGGCCCAGTAGGGATACTGGGAGGGCCAGTATCTAAGGCCTGAAGAAAGGGGAATGAAGCATGACCAGATCTTGCGGAGGGTGCCCATGCCTCCCCTCAACTTCTCTCTCATGTGTATTCTTACATTTGATCATGAATAAGAAAAAAATTAATGAAAAAAACTGTCTTTGTGTGCTATACTGCCATGTTTGGACCTTATCCTAAAGGTAATCAGGAGCCAATGGTAAATTAATATGGTTATAAATTCTGTACAGCTGCTCCCATCAGAAGTACAGTCAGTTTGACCACTTCTTAATTCTACACTGACCTGTGACCCGTTTAGACCAATGGGAATATAGCAGAAGTGAAAATGTGCAGTTCAGGAGCCTAGGCTGCAAAGGTCCTCACAACTTCTGCCTTTTCCCTTTTAGAATGCTGCCCCGAGAGCTCCAAGTAAGGAAGCTGATCTAGTCTACTGGAGGATGAGAAGCCATGTGGAAGAGAAATGAGATGCCCAGCTGAAAACCAGCACCAATGGCCAGACACGAGCAAGACCATCTCAGATCTTTCAGCAGAACACGCTTGCAGACCCTCTAGCTCAACGGTCATGTCTGTGATCCAAGGCAATGACAGCAGAGAACTGCGCTCCCCACTGCCAGCAACCCATGGAATCCTGAGAAATAATCACTCTTTTCATTGGTAAGCAATGATTAGCTGATATGGAGTCTTGTCTACAATATGAGATCTGCAACTTAAGGGGAAAAAAACCTCTCAGTTGGAATGTGATGGATGAGGTTGGGGAGGGGTGGCAGAAGCAACAAAGGTAAGGGAAGCAGGAGGCTACTACACAGGAGAGACGAAGCACAGAATATACTACTATACATTTTTCAAAACTGTCTGAAAAGAAGACAGATTTAAGAAATACAGAAGATGTAAAATTAGGGCTAGCAGGTGGCACAGAGATTAAGGCAGCTGGATCCCACATGGCCGCATGCATGCCCAAAATCCTGACAGGAAAATGGAGAAGGGACTGTGGCGTGGTCATCCCTCTGAGAGATGCTTTCTCATTTTCTCTTTATCTCTGTCTCTCTCTGTCTCTCTGTTTCTGGTGAGTGCACATGCCCTATAGCAAAACAAAACAAAACAAAAAAACCTAGAAAAAACTTCACGAGAAAATGTAAAATTGGTTAGTGTTTCATCATAATCAATTTGGTGTGAAACAGGAGTTAGGATGATTTCAGGTTTCTAGCTTAACTATTGCACTGAGCTAGGGAATATAGGAAGCAGCAGCGATTTGTAGGAAATATGACTTTGAATTATATATGGACCATTAGAAAGATGCTCAGCCTGCTAGCAGCTGGTGAGAGATCTGAGCTTTGGCTACAGATTCAGAAGTGTTTGATGAGGGGCCAGCAGATGGCGTAGTAGTTGAGGGCCCTGGATTCCCCATAGCTGATTGCAGTTCAAGTCCCAGACCTGGCAGTTTGAAAATCATACCAGCCCTGTGTCTGAGTGCCCCAAATCCCAGGAGAATGGAAAAAGGGGATTGAAGAATCCCCCAGGGGATGATTTCTCACTTTCCCTCTCTCTGTCTCTTTCTTTGGCCAGTTCATGCACCCTATGACAAAACAACTGTTCAACGAGTAGGTGGTCAGTTGAATGTAGATGTGATATAATGTGATGTAAGAAGAAAGACCAAAGAATGGGATCCTATGAAAAACTGAAAGTTAAGAGAAAACCAGAGGAAGAGGAACCTTTAAGAGAATGAATATCCAGAGAAAGTAAGTACTAAATACTTTACATATTCCAATTTATTTAGCCCCTCTCTGTTTTGTGTGCTGACATATCCTGAGTACCTGGAGCAGTATCTTAGCACACAGTGAGTGATAAGCAAATATTTGTTGTTGAATGAATGAATTCTCACAAAAATATAAGGTAATAAATACTACAGTTACTCCCATCTTCCAGAAGATGAAATCAAGAAATAGAGTAACTTGCTCAAAGTGACACAGCTAGGAACTGGTAGACCAAGCACCCAATGCTCATGATAAGTGTTGAGAAGCTGGAGCAGGAAATTGGAATTTTGGCTTGAATGGCCTCTATTGTCTCTGGGAAGTAATAAAAATGTTACCTGTAAGAAACAGCTATTGGGCGGCAAGTGGCACAGTAGTTAAAGGTGCTGGACTCCCACAGAGCTGACCACTACTCAGTCTAGGACCTGGTGGCTTGCTTTTATACTTTCCCTCTCTTTCTCTGTCCCATTCTTGTCCAATTAAAATAAATAAATAAGTAAAGTTAAATAAAAATAATTCTTAAAAAAGAAACAGTTATTTTGGGCTAGACAGTGGTGTAGCGGTAATGCAATGCTCTGTGATATGATCACATAGGAAGGTCCTGGGTTCACAACCTGAGGTTTCCCTGTGAACACCTTGGGTGCTTGCCCATGATCTAGGTTGGCTGAAGCTGGGAGGTGGATCATGATGTGACAAATCGATCATGGGTACCTTTCTCTTCCTCTCTTATGGAAGAAATAAACAAACATCTAAAAAATAAAAATCTTAAAAAGAAATGGTGAAGGCTGTGAGGGAGTATGAATTAAAGAAAAACAGAAGGAAGGGACCAGCAGATGGCATGATGATTATGTTGCTGAACTCCTATGTGCCCGACTGTGATTTGAGTCCCAGACGTGGTGGCTTGAAACTCACACTGGGCGCGTGTGTGTGCATGCCCAAAATCCCAAGAGGAGAATGCAGGAGAAGGGATTACGGCATGGCTATCCCCTCTGTGGGGTGACTTCTCATTTTCTATCTCTCTGTCTCTCTGGCAAGCACATTTGCCCCGTAACAAAAAGGGGGCTGGGTGGTGGTATGACGATAAAATGTGAAACCCTGCAGGTGGGGCCCACATGGGAAGGTTGCCAGTTAACATCTGGAGATCTCCCTGAGTACTCTGGGCACATGTGGGCCACGTTCTGGGGCTGGGGTGACTGAATTGCAGCATTACAACCCTCAAAAGCTTAATGAAAAGTAGCTCTTTGATGTAATGGTAATGTGCTGCTCAAGAGAAGCTGGATTCCATGTGGCAACGGTGGTTTGAATCCCCTGCCCAGTCAGCCTGAAACATGATGGACATTCACATGAGTGAGCAAGATCTGAAGGGCTAGTGAACCATAGGAAGGGGATCGCAGTATGACTATATCTTATGGAGGGTACCTGTCTCTCTCTCATACACACACACACACACACACACACACACACACACACACGTGTGCATGTGCTCCATCATGAATAAAGAAAAAAGCTTAATGATACAACAATCCAGGTCCCACCCAAAGGTTTTTGTCTTAGGTTGCATGCACTCACTGGAGAGAGACAGTGAGAGGGAAGTGAGAAATCACCTCCCCAAGGGATGGCCACACTGCAATCCCTTCTCCTCCATTTTCCTCCCAGGATCTTGGACACACATGCACACGTGATTATCAAGCCGCCAGGTATGGAACTCAAACCATGGTCGGCTAGATGGGAGGCCAGCAACATAACCACTATACCATCTACTGGCTCCAGGGTTCTTCATCAGAATTCTAAGTAGACTATTAGGGAAAAACAGTTTTTGTGCTCTTGCCAAACCTAACACTTAAGCCTCATGTTCTTTATAGAGGGTAAAAAAAAGTTGTAGAAAGTTAAGTAAATGGGAAATTTTGATTTAGAAACATATTGGACTGGTTTTATCACACCATATATTTTTTGCTTTTTTGAGAGATTTTTGCTATAGGGTGCAAAAATAGCTGAGAGGCAGAGAGACAGAAAGCAAAAAATCACCCTTCCTGAGGGATGATGGCCAAACCACAATCCCTTCTACTCCATTCTCCTCTCGAGATTTTGGTCATGTACGAGTGCACACCAGTATGAGTTTTAAGTCAGCAGGTATGGGATTTGAACTGCAGTCAATCACATGGAAGACTAGTGCTTTAACCACTACGCCCCCACATTACACCATCTTCACATGATAGATAGATTAAGTACTATACCCAACAAACAATCCTACAGCGAGTAGGAAAAAAAAAGATACTTGCATTAAGTCCACAAAAATTTACCTTGACTGAGAAGGTTATACCAATGCTTACCATTGCATTTAGATGAGTTAGATGACAAAGGCTAGCTGTCCCAGTAAAACCCAATCCCAACATTATGAAGACACTAGTGTGAAGCAAAGTACGTTGGGGTTGGGGAGGAAACAATGAGAAATGGGAGAGCAGGGAGCACCAGGATAGAAAAGTAGAAGCAAAGTTTTTTACTTTAAGTCTTTAATTACTGGTGGGAAAAAATATTGAATAATGTATAAAACATTTTACACACGATATCTTGAGATCATACTTACCAGCAGTTGTTTTCAGAAGGCGATGTGGATGACTATACTTAAATGAAGGATAACCAAAGAAACATGCAAATTTTGGCTTCAAAATGTGAACATTACTGCATGTTTGAAAAGAGCGAATACAAATCTACAGATGAGAAAACACAAAGTAGTTACAAGTAATCTTAATGGCTTATCATTTCTTTATGTACATATTGAATTTCAATTCTATTCTATAAGTAGAACAATTATCACAATATAAATATAAAATGATATCAGCAGAACCCAGGATATATGGCAGCAGTGACAATCAAGTTTACAGAGACCAGTTATTAAGTATTTCTATCCAAAATATCAAAAGAACTCAACTCCCAGCACACAGGAAACATGGGTTTTTTTTTTTTTTTATGTTTAATAATATTATACCCTGAGTCAGATTTGTCCCTATATTTATGATCCTTGTCCAAGTTTTTTTTATTAAAGATTTATTTATTTAATTATTATTATCATTTAATTTTGCTCTAGGACATAAGTGTTTACTAGAGAGAGAAAGCAAGCCGCTATGTCTGGGACTCAAACCACAGTCAGCCATGTGGGAGTCCAGTGCTCCAACCACCATGCCACCTGCTGGCCCCGTCCAAGATTCTTTATGAAAGTAATCTGTATAAACACATCAGCTATAGCTTGTCATTACGCTACCTAATAAAAGCTACTAGAGAATTCTAAAGTGATTGTTAGAATCTAGATATTGAAAAACATGTAAATAGACTCTTAATAAAAGTAATTTTAACAATCTACAGACACTGAAAAAGATGACAGTGTCATTATACCCAAGGTTTTCTTATAACTTAATAAATAATTTTTTTTGTTGAAAGATTTTTGCTATAGGGTGTGTGTGCTTGCTGGAGAGATAGAAAGTGAGAAATCGCTCCTCAGTTGGGATGGCCCTGCTGCAATCCCTTCTTTTCCATCCTCTTGGGATTTCGGGCATTCATACACATGTGCATGCACATGTGCCCAGCTTGAGTTTCAAGCTGCTGGGTCCAGGACTCGAAATGCAATCAACCATGTGGGAGTCCAGCACCTTAATATTTATGCCACCTTCTAGCCCAGTAAATGATTCTTATCAAATGACTTTCTTATCATAAGTTACTGACTCTTGGTAAATAAAAGTAATTTTAACAACCTATAGACACTGAAAAACATGTATAGCATTATACTCAAGGTGTTCTTATGATTTAATGACTCCTAACGACTTTATCATAACTTAATGACTTTTTTAAAAAGATTTATTTATTTATTTATATTTGTTATTATTATTATTATTTTAATTTGACCAGAGAGAGACAAACAAAGAGAAAGGGAAAGTGAGAGACCAAGCCTTCTGGTAAGAACTTGAGCTGTGGTTGGCCATGTGGGAGTCCAGCACCTTAACCGCCATGCCATCTGCTAGCCCCATAACTTAATGACTCTTAATATATGACTCTTAATAAAAGTGACTGTTAGCATCTAAAGACACTAAAAAAACATATACGGTATTACCCCCAAGGTTTTCTCATCATAACATAATAGATTTAACTATTTTATATAATACTTTAGTGTTTAATACAAGATAATATGTTATAAAAATAACTAGGCTTGGGGCTAGCAGTTATGCCCCACATGGTCGACCACGGTTTGAGTCCTTGCCTGGGTGGCTTGAAATTCATGCCGGGCACGTGTATATGTGTCCAAGGTCCTGAAAGGAGAATGGAAAAGAGATTGCAGTGTGGTCATCCCCTCCCTCCCAGGCAGTGATTTCTCACTTTCCTTCTCACTGTCTCTTTCTCTCTCTCTAGCAAGCCCTCCACCCTAAAGCAAAGCCCTCTCAAAACAAAACAAAACAAAATAAAAAACAAACAAAAGCTTAGGCTTGAATGTATTCAACTTGATATAACAAAATTAAATGTCTGAAAGGTAGTATATCATTTAGAAAGTTAATATGTCAATGTTATTAATACCTGATTAACTACATCGTACTTTAAACATAAGCCTTCTAACCTTCTCAGTTGTTAAACAAATATTTATGAGCATGTACAATGTGCCAGGCACTTGAGAGTATATAAAGAACAAAAGGAGATGCAATTTCTTCCTTACAGAACAACAAGTTTACAAGTGATTATAACACAGTGTCCTAATGGGGGAAACTGAGTGTTTTAAGGGAACCCAAAGGAAGGGAGCCTAGCTAGAGAGTTAGGTGACAATCAGAGCTGTGGGACGAGGATGAGTAAGCCAGGGGATGAGATGTACTGCATGTAAGGCCAGAGGGAACTAAGGCAAGAGTCTTTAAGCAGTGCAAATACATGTGCAAAGGTCTACAGTCAAGAGGGCATAGAGTGTGTCCAATGAACTCAATCTGTTCAACAGCATTCTAGTGAAGTTCAGCGTGGAGTAAGGGTGAAGTGTCCGAGTTGGGACTGGGATGAATAGGAGCTAAAGGAAGGAAGTCTGAGAGATTGCAAAGATACAGATCAGAAATTGCCCCATAGTCATTTGAATTTTGGACATTTTGCTGTCAGCTTTCAGCAAGAAAATGACATTATCGAACTTGTGTTTTACTTTACAAGGGCACCCTAGTTATGCTATGAAAAATGGCACAAGATTGGAGTCAGAATTCTAATGAGGAAGGACCAGGACACCTGCAGTTGAGGACATGATGAAGAAAAATGACTAGGTTTCTTTGGAGAAAGGAATAGGCTAGAATCACGAGAAACAGGATTGAAGGTTCAACTCTGGAATCTAAGGAGTTGGAAGGGATCGTGGCCAAGGCTGTGAGATGGTTATAGGCTAGCTTTTCCAAGGTCGCTTGTGCAAGCAGTGGCCGTGCAATAGCTCTCGCCAGTGCACCTGGCTGGTACCACCCTTTCTTCTTTCCTGCCTCGGACATGGAGAAAGATGTTAAAGCAGTCATCTTGTGACAGGGAAGGGCCAAATGAACTGCTGAAAATGACAACCTTCACGATAACGAACCACTTCATCAATGGCAGCTGCCATCTAATTTTAGAATGTTCTGTATGCATGGGTGCTTAATTTCCTATTTATTAGTTGGGTTTTTATTACTTGTGCCAAAAAATATATCACATACATTCAAGTGGAGATTTTCAGGAAAGCAGGATACATAGAATCAGAATAGGCCTGGTTGGGAGATTGGAACTTTAGGGAATCATCAGCACAGATGGTAACTAAATCCAAAGTGGACAGGATAGTGGACAAGGGAAATGGGAAAAGTACAGCAGACTAGGTCAGCACATGGTGTGGTGGTTAAGGGCTGGACTCCCGCATGACTGAAATTAGCTGGAGTCTCAGACCTGGCAGCTTGCTTTCTCTGACTCTGTCTTGCTTCCTCTCTGCCTCACATGCCCTACAGCAAAATTTTTTAAAAAAATAATAAGTAACATTAAATACATAATAATTATTATTTTTTAAAGTACACAGAGCCAAAGTCAGACCCCTTAGGAACATCAAAAACAAGGCCAGCAGGTGGCATAGAGGTTAAGATGCTAGATCCTACATGGATGACTGCACAGTTCGAGTCATGGACCTGGTAGCTTGGAAATCATGCTGGGCACATTTGGGTGCATGCCCAAGATCCCAAGAGGAAAATGGAGAAGGGATTGTGGCATGGCCATCCCCCCCCGGGGGGTGATTTCTCACTTTCTTCTTCTCTCTCTCTGTCTCTCTCTTTCTCTCACTGGTGAGAGCATGTGCCCTATAGCAAAACAAAACAAAACAAAACAAAACAAAACAAAACAAAACAAAAAAATCACCAAAATTTTATGTTATGTAGAGAAAGACGATATTGGGATGAAGTGCGGGAATAAAATACAAGGAGAATATTAGGGAGCCAGTCATGGTGGTACACAATCAACACCACTGCTTGGGAAGATGGAAGCCATGTGGAAAGCACGTTCCTGGCCCAATGTGAATACTCCAGGCAAACAACAAATGTTCCTATATTTCTACTGGGTTGTCAGGACAGTTGTGAAACATTTTTGCATAGAAAAAAAACATGGCATTCCCAAGAAACTAATAGCTAATGGGGAGGCTAGAGCATGAAAAGCACAATAATGTAAGACCGTGCCAAAAATATCCATCTCTGTCTCTCTCCCTTTCCCCCATGCTCATCTATCTCTGTCTCTCTCCCTTTCCCCCACACTCTTCTTCATAAAAGGTGAGGTGGGAGTAGGACTACTGGGAAGCTGATGTTACAAAGGACAAGAATGGAGAGCTCTGAAGAGAGGACGAGAACCAGTAGGGTGCTGCGGAGAAGAGCCCTTTTCTCTCAGTGGCCTCCTACATATCCTCAAGTTATATATTATAATATCCCCTGGAAACTCCTCTGACCTCTAAGTCCATCACAGGTGTCCACTCCTGTGTGTTCCTGCAGATCTATGCACTTGTCCCATCATAACACTTCTGCTGAGTCGTAGGTGCTTAATGTCTCTCCTTCTCCTCTGTCCTCCACCACAAGGTTGTAAAGGTACGGCTTTCTGACTCATCTGCATCCCCAGTGTTTAGCACAGTACCTGGTATTAGCATATTCTCAAGGTTTTGTCAGATCAGGGTTTGACCACTGCAGAAACATCTAGGGTGGAATGGTCCAGGAAAACATGGTGCAAACAGAATAAAATACTAACATTACTGGGTTGGATCAAGGCTTGACACTGCAAGACTGTGTGAAAGAGAGGGGACTTCAGGGAAGATGTTGGTGAGTCACAGCTGTGGTGATGAGAGTTGGAAAGATACATGGCAAGGACACAAGTACAAGGCAGAAGAGTGAAGCTTCGAAATTCCTCCGAAGCAAGGACCCTTGGTGATCTGCCTAACCAGTCTCTTCTGTTGGACTGTAAACGCCCAGAGAGCAGGGAATCTTATTACTAATGTCTGGCACACCGTGGGCGCTCAATAAACACTGGATGACTACATCTCTGTATTCCCGATGCCTATCACAAAGCCCGGCACCTACAAAATATTTAACGAAAGACTAGCAGGCGAAAGGCTAGCTGGGCCTTGGGTTGCAGACGCAGCAGGAGGGCGACAGAGTTGTGGCCCGAGCGCTTCCAGGTAAAAGGAGAGAGCGGGTCTCGGCTCTGAACCCCGCTAGCCACCTTCTCCGCCCTCCCTGTTTGTGCGCATCCCTGCATCTCTGCACCACGCGTGTCCTGTGCGCGTAGCGCTCGGAGGAGAAAATAACACACCACTCCCGGCGGACTCCGGACAAATCACTTCCTCCCGGCCTCAGGGCTGCCAAAACTGCTTACCCGCCGCCCTGCATTCCGGCTCCAGGTGCTCAACACACGTACTGCGGCCATCTTACTCCGGAAATGACGACTGCGCCGCAGCTGCTGGAGGCGCCGCCACGGGGCAACCAATCCGGGAACGCGAGACGCACCTCCCCCTGAGCGGCCAATGGGGAGCGAAGGAGCGAGCCTCCCACCCGACAGCCAATCAGGGAGCAGGGCGGGGTGCGCCAAACCCCGGGCGTGGAGAGCCCGCCGGCGTGAAAAAGCCGGGAGAGGCGGAGCCCAAGTTTAATTCGGGGGACCAAGCTGGGCAAAGCCCTGCGTTGTACACCAGCAACGGTCTGTTGCATTTAACTCATATAATGGGGGAAATCGTGGTACTGAGGAAACCTACAAAAAGTGAACTTATCCGGAGCAAGTTGTGTTGAAGACCTGGAGGATGCCAGGGGAAACACTTTCGTCTTGCACGTATTTTCATCTTTCGTATTGTAAGGGCCTTGATTACAGAAAATGAGACATTTCTATATTTCGCAGCAAGGCTCTGTACCACTAGAAAGCGTTTTCACAAGTCCATACTGGAAAGGTTCCCAATGACTGGCATTTCTTACTCCTGTTGAGTGTTCTTGATGACCAAAACTGACTTCCCAATCCTTTCTCATGAAAGCTGGACAAGGTTACTTAGTGTATAAAATAATCATGTCATCATCATTATCTTTCCTTCTTACAGAATGTTGTCAAATGCAGCTGCCCAGGATATGCAATACATGTCACAGACATACAACCATGATTTACTTGCCTCTAGAAGAAATGTCAAATTCAGGTAAGTGAAACTGTTAAAGAAATGACCAGGACTTTCTTTGGCAGTTTTCCTCAGGACAACTAGGAAATCAATTGTGAGAAATGTCCAGGATGACATTTGTCTGTACCTGCCTCTTACATCACAATGAAAGCCTGCACAAATGTTTAAGGAGTCACAGAGAAAAAAACTGGAACAAAGACAACATAACATTGAAGATGAGTGGTTATGAAACAAAATCTCAGATATTTCACAAATTCATTGTTTCCTATTACACCCACACTTTTTTTTTGCCTTATTTGCCTTTCAGAATGTTACATATGTGCACACACAAAAATCTCTAAACAATAAATCTTAATTTTTACCATTTCTCCCTCCTTTAGGATTTTGGCATGCACGCACATGCATCCAGCATATTTTTCAAGTGGCTGTCTGAGTCTAGGACTTGAACCAAGCAGCAGGCCATGTGGGATCAAGCTGCCTTAACCACCATGCCACCATCTGGCCCCAAATCCCACAACTATTAAAATAATAATAACATTAATAAAGCAAATAAGTAAAAATGAAGATCACAACTTAGATACCCCAGGGCCAACTGGGGTGACCACAACTTAAGCCATCCTGATTTCCATTAAACTAATGTTAAAGAGCAACAAAACAAAAACATGACCTCTTTCACCTTATCAACATTACTCAACAAAATGAAACCAATCAACTATGGACAATGAAGTGTAGGGCTGGCTCCATATCACAGTGATTATGGCTATGTCATGGCTGGCTGCAGTTCAAATCCTGACCGGCTAGGCTTAAAAAACACATGCAAACTCCATGCATGTGTCCAAAATCCTGATAGGATGAAAAAAAAAATGGAGGAAAAGTGAATGTGGAATGGCAATGCCCTATTGATGGGTACTTTTCCCCTTCTCTCTGGTGAGCAAATTGTACCTTGTGGCAATTGGAAAAAAAAAATAAAAAAATTAAAAGTTCATGGAAAATGTGTATTGCCAAAAAAAATTTTTAAAAAAGCATGAACTTTTAAAAATTCACCATATATTGGTGTATTTAAGTTTATTTAATGTGCATTCATTTCATTTTTCTAGAAGCTTTATGAAGGCCCATCACAGTTGCCATTTTGGTCAGGAAATGTGATTTGTGTGATGCAAATTCTTTGAATTTTGTTGAGACTTGCTTTAGGGCTTCAACACTTTTTATAATTCATGAGTCTTAAGGAAAACATGTGCACTATAATGATTGGAGATTACATATGTAATTTTCATTAGGTCACGTTTATTTACTTTTTTAAATTATTATTATTTTTTAATTATTATTTTATTTGACATTCATTTATTGTTAATTTGACCAGAGAGGGACAGAGCAATTGAAAGAGAGAGAGAGAGAGAGCAAGCTGCCAAGTCTGAGATTTGAACCGCGGTCAGCCTTGTGGGAGCCCAGTGCCCTTAACCATCACACCACCTGCTGGCCCCTTAGTTGTATTTCTTAAATGTATGTATGTATGTATGTATGTAAGTATTTTAAAGAAATGACCAGGACTTTCTTTGGCAGTTTTCCTCAGGACAACTAGGAAATCAATTGTGAGAAATGTCCAGGATGACATTTGTCTGTACCTGCCTCTTACATCACAATGAAAGCCTGCACAAATGTTTAAGGAGTCACAGAGAAAAAAACTGGAACAAAGACAACATAACATTGAAGATGAGTGGTTATGAAACAAAATCTCAGATATTTCACAAATTCATTGTTTCCTATTACACCCACACTTTTTTTTTGCCTTATTTGCCTTTCAGAATGTTACATATGTGCACACACAAAAATCTCTAAACAATAAATCTTAATTTTTACCATTTCTCCCTCCTTTAGGATTTTGGCATGCACGCACATGCATCCAGCATATTTTTCAAGTGGCTGTCTGAGTCTAGGACTTGAACCAAGCAGCAGGCCATGTGGGATCAAGCTGCCTTAACCACCATGCCACCATCTGGCCCCAAATCCCACAACTATTAAAATAATAATAACATTAATAAAGCAAATAAGTAAAAATGAAGATCACAACTTAGATACCCCAGGGCCAACTGGGGTGACCACAACTTAAGCCATCCTGATTTCCATTAAACTAATGTTAAAGAGCAACAAAACAAAAACATGACCTCTTTCACCTTATCAACATTACTCAACAAAATGAAACCAATCAACTATGGACAATGAAGTGTAGGGCTGGCTCCATATCACAGTGATTATGGCTATGTCATGGCTGGCTGCAGTTCAAATCCTGACCCCTGAGGCTTAAAAAACACATGCAAACTCCATGCATGTGTCCAAAATCCTGATAGGATGAAAAAAAAAATGGAGGAAAAGTGAATGTGGAATGGCAATGCCCTATTGATGGGTACTTTTCCCCTTCTCTCTGGTGAGCAAATTGTACCTTGTGGCAATTGGAAAAAAAAAATAAAAAAATTAAAAGTTCATGGAAAATGTGTATTGCCAAAAAAAATTTTTAAAAAAGCATGAACTTTTAAAAATTCACCATATATTGGTGTATTTAAGTTTATTTAATGTGCATTCATTTCATTTTTCTAGAAGCTTTATGAAGGCCCATCACAGTTGCCATTTTGGTCAGGAAATGTGATTTGTGTGATGCAAATTCTTTGAATTTTGTTGAGACTTGCTTTAGGGCTTCAACACTTTTTATAATTCATGAGTCTTAAGGAAAACATGTGCACTATAATGATTGGAGATTACATATGTAATTTTCATTAGGTCACGTTTATTTACTTTTTTAAATTATTATTATTTTTTAATTATTATTTTATTTGACATTCATTTATTGTTAATTTGACCAGAGAGGGACAGAGCAATTGAAAGAGAGAGAGAGAGAGAGCAAGCTGCCAAGTCTGAGATTTGAACCGCGGTCAGCCTTGTGGGAGCCCAGTGCCCTTAACCATCACACCACCTGCTGGCCCCTTAGTTGTATTTCTTAAATGTATGTATGTATGTATGTATGTAAGTATTTATCTAGTTACTTATTTGTTGTGATTGGAATTCAGTGCCTTAACAACCATGCCACCTACTGGCCCCTTTAATTGTATTTTTCAAATCTTTTTACTAAATTTCAATCTCCTTTATCTACCAATAAATGAGATAAAATTTCACAATAGGGTCAGAGACTTATCAGTTTCTTGTGTTCTATTATTTTGGATTTATATATTTTAAGATATTTATTACATATAACTTTTTTGTCATAAAGTTTACTTCTTTCTTTGTTTCATGACAAAGATAGAGATAGAGAAAGAGAGGTAGAGGAAGAGAGAGAATCGCAACCTCAGTGGGATCTTGAGGCTGTGATCCACTCCAGCCTCAGCCAGTTGCAGATCATGGGTATGAAGCTTCCCACATGGGTCAGTCTTACAGAGAATTGTGTTTTAACACTGTGCCAACATCCAGCCCCACAACGTTTTGAACGGTTGTATTTTTTCTGGTGAATGCAACCTTTTATAATTTTGCAATGACTTTTTATTCTCAATGTAGTGCATTTTCTATTATTGGGTTGTTGGAAAAGTCATGACCCATTTTTGCTTAGAAAAATAATCATAATTCTTCTGACGACCCATAAAACCTAATCTATCATTTATATGGCTACATCTTGTTCATTTCCCCCCATCACCAAAGTAGTTGGAATGGGACAAAGGGGTTAGAACCAGTAATTCATACCCAACATTAGAAATAAAAAAGCCAAGCCTTCTTCCGAGGTAGTTTCTGTGATAGGAATCCAAGAGGGAAATAGCTAGGAATACAGCTTTCATAGTGCATCTCCACAGCAGCTGCCTTGCTTCAAGTTTTCACTGGCTCTCCCCAGGAAAATTGCATCACTGACATTTCTCCCTTCAGGCTCTTACGCCTCTTACTCTTCTCATCCTGCCAGAGCCATCATTCTAAAATGTAAGTATGATAACTTCTCTCACTAATAACTATGGCAAGTCCCACACGGGGTTAGGTATATACTCCGTGTGTTCTCAGAACAGTCTGTTGCAAAAGTAGCAGAGCCTTGGGATCAGGAGATGGTAGCTTACATCACACCATAAAGGTTCAGGTCAGCAAACAATCTGACAAAATAACCATTTGCAAATGGATAAATAAATAAAAGGTTCATATTTGGGAGCCCAGAGATAGCATTGTGATTAGGAGTGCTGGACTCCCACATGGCCAACAGTGGTTGAGTCCTGGAACTGGTGGCTTCCTTTCTCGCTTTCTCTCTCACTCTGTCCCTCTCTGATCAAATTAAAATAAATGAATAAAGTTAAATAAAATGATTCTTAATAAAATAAGTTCAAATCTGTTTTCTAGTTAACTGTGTAAATTTGTAATATGGTTAACATACAAAACTGAAAAATAGTAAAATTAGTAAGTTATGAATGCATGCAGTGCAGGGCACCGAAGTACTCAATAGAGGTTGGCTATTATTGCTATGGTTTATCATATGGTAATTGCTATCCCCCTAGCAGACTGTAATAAGTACATGTTTATTGTTGTTATTGTGGATGCCTCTCATAACTTCCAAGTTAACATTAACTTACATTTCTTTGCTTACGTAGAGGCTTATATACTCATTAGTTGGTACTCAGTTAATGTGGGACTTGAGCCAGTGGAGAACCAAGAAGCTGGCTATTGTCCCTGTCCCGACCTGAGAACTTTGAATAGTTGCAGTTCACTGGAGTCAAGACCTTGCATTCATCCCCAACAAGGTGGCATGACTTTGTTCTGAGTATGGTACTACTGATCCACACCCTCCACACCCCCACCATAATGGTTTCTCATTGAAGAAAACTAGATAATACTCCCCCCCACACACATACACACACTGTCCATGAGAACCGAGAAGCCCATTGAGCATCAATGCACCAGGAGTACATACTTCAAGGGACAGCCTGCAGAGAAGGCAAACCGGACCAGAGAGGGGAGGGCTGGTTTGCAGCAGTATCCATACTTTTCCTACTACTACTACTTCAGTTCGAAGAGTATGCACCTCTGAGTGTGGATGGCCGGCAGTTGGTGTGGTTCCTAAGGTGCTGGACTCCCACATGCCAGACGACAGTTTGAGTCCCAAACCTGGAGGCTAGCCTCTTCACTTTCCCTTTCTCTAGCTCTAGTCAAATTAAAATAAGTAACGTTAAGTAAATAATTTTCTAAAAAAAGCATAATCCTGCGGTACAACTGAAGGATTGAAGATGAAAAGGAGGCTTCCTGTAACCTGCGGGTTTTGCTGTGCTCGGGCCACATTTCCTGCGGTGTTCCACTGCACATCCAGGGCCAGCACCCCACCTCCCGGCAGCTTCCCAGTCTGGCCCAGATCTCCCTGCACCGCCTCTGTCAGGGAGCGCGGCGCGCATGCGCACTGGCTGCCGGGCCTTGCAGACCCAGCCTCATTGCTCAGTACTCCGGATTCCAGGGAGGCGCCACTCCTTCCGCCTTCCCGCGGGGCCTCGCAACCTCAGGCGTGGCGGGTTTCCGAGCTGCTGGGCAGGAGCCAGCGTCTCCTTTTCTTCGTGTTCTCGCGGAGGTTTTGCCGCTGCAGGCCGGGCCCCAGGGCGCCTGCGATGGCGGGGGAGCGGGTGGAGGTCGATGGCGGGATCATGGAAGAGGTGAGTGCGGCGCCGGGGGCTCAGCAGCTGGGCTGAGGAGGCGAGCGTTCGCGGCTGATGGTCTCTTCTCCACCTTCGCAGGGCGGCCAGATCCTCAGGGTGTCCACCGCCTTGAGTTGCCTCCTTGGCCTCCCCTTACGGGTGCAGAAGATCCGGGCCGGCCGCAGCACTCCAGGCCTCAGGTAAATTGGGGCGGCTGGGGAACCGGTCCGAGGGATTGGGGCCGGGAGTAAAGGAGTCCTGGGGGTGGAGCCTAAAAGGTCAGGACCAAAGGTTGTGCGGTTTGAGGCCCGGGGCCGCGGGGTTCGGTGGATCCGCCCTGAGCCTCCTTTTCCTAGCTCTGGGATGCCCTGGGATGCTCGGTCTGAGCGGTGCCTGAAGTAGTGCGGCCTTGGAAGCCTCCCACGGTGAGTTTAGAAGCAGGCTAGGATTTGACTGAAGTTGCCTGGTTTGCAGAGCTGCCTTTTAAAACGTTTTCCCGCCGCATCGTGCATTCTGTGTACCCAGAGAGCGCGTGTCGGCGGGCCAGATGGATCAGGGCAAAATGCTCGTGAGACCAGAGGAAATCCAGTCCTTAACCAGTGTATTCCGTGCTGCCGCACATTTTACAGTAATAGCAGTAGCACAGAAAAGGGTCTTAGGACATGTTATGTTCGCTCCGTTCATCCTACGAGAAAGCTGTGAATTCGACCAAAAATATCTGTTGTGGAGTTGACCTTCCCCTGTCTTCTGTCTGGGAAGCTGGGCGTGCCAATAGGCAGTTTCAGGTTCATGCGTCTGTTAGAGGAGGACCCAGGTCAAAGCCAAACTGATCCTTTTTCTACTCATCCTATTATATTCCATTTTAGTACATCACCTTTTATCCACAGTCAGTTTTGAAAGGACATTATTAAAAAGAAGTTATTAAAAGGAAATTATTGAAATCCGTGAACTATTTTTAATTTAGAGAATGTTCATTTTCATCGTCATAGCAGGTGTTTGCAGCCATCCAGTTCACCAGCAGGGGAATCCAATTCATTAAGACTCTCGTTGACACCATTAATAAATTAGTTTGCTAGGGCTGCCTAACAAAATACCACACGCTGGGTGGCTTAAACAGTCGAAATTTATTTTCTCACAGTTCTGGAGTCCAGAAGTCCAAGATCAAGGTGCAGGCAGGGTTGGCTTCCTCCTAAGGATAAGGATAAGAGAAGGACCTATTATGAGTCTCTCTCTCTCTCTCCCTCTCTCTTAATATGTTGATTCCTCTGCTCTGTGCCCCTGGTATATCTATTTGTCCTACTCTTCTTCTAAGAACACTGGTTAGATTGTATTAGAGACAATCTAACAGCTTCAGTTTAACTTATAATAATTACCTCTCTGAAGGCTCCATCTCCAAATATAGTCACGTTCTTAGGAACTGGAGGGTTGGGGCTTCAGCATATGAATTTTGGGAGAACACAGTTCAGCCCCTAACAGGTACCGTAGATTATTCAGAAAAGTGCAAGTGAGACTTGTGAGTCCTAGGTAGCTTTATTTATTTATTTTTTTAATTTAAAAAAGAATGATTTGTTTAACTTTGTCATATTTATTTTTTAATTTGTTACAGTGTATGTGTGCTCACCATAGAAATACAGAGAGAAAGTGATAGAGAGAGAGAGAGAATGAGAAGGCAAGCTGCCAGGTCTGGGACTTGAACTGTAGTCATCCATGTGGCAGTCTAGCACCTTAACCACCATGCCACCTACTGGCTCCCCAGGTAGATTGATTAATTTTCCCATTTTCTATACTTATTATTTATTTTTTAATAATTACTTATTTTATTTATCCATTCATTTATTTTAATTTCACCAGAGAGAGAGAGAGAGAAAGTGAGAAAGCAAGCTGCCAGGTCTGGGACTTGAATTGTGGTCGGCCATGTGGGAGTGTCTAGTCCCTTAACCACACGCCACCTGCTGGTCCCATATACTTCTTATTTGTAATAGTACGTTAGTGTAAGTATTAATGGTCAAAATAACTGGTCTCATAGGCCAGTAAAATGATGCTTATTGGGAACCAACAGGTAGCATGGTAATTAAGGGACTAGATTCCCACATGGCCAACACAATTTGAGTCCTCAACTTGGCAGCTTAAAAATCACACCGGCCACATGTACATGCATGCCCAAAATCCTGAGAGGAGAATGGAGGAGAAGCGATTGTGATGTGGCCATCTCTCTTGGGGAATGATTTCTCACTTTCACACTTGCCCAATGGCAGAAATCTAAAAAAAAAGAAAAAGAAAAAAAAGAAAGAGAGAGAGAAAAAGAAAAAGAAAAGAAAGAAAGAAAAGATGCTTACTAACAGGTAGTCTAGTAGTCTAGGTGAGTAAAAACCCAAAAGGAAGGCCAACAGGTGACATGCTGGTTAAGGCATTGGACTCCCACATGGCTGACAGCAATTTGAGTCCCAGACTTAGCACTCTTGCTTTTTCACTTCTCTCTTTCTCTCTCTCTCTCTCTTTCTCTAGTAAGGGAGTTGCACAAGCCCTATGCAAATTTAAAAATAATAATAATAAATAAAATGAACAGAAATTAAAAAAAGGAAGCTCTGACACAGAAGATGTGGTACTTACTATGGTTAGACCTTGCTGTTTTCATGCCATTGCAGTTTTATAAGTGTGTCATAAAATGTGGGGATATAGGCAGTCTGAATGCACACGTTTTGATGCAGTATTATGACCTGAAGGCCTCAACATTTATCTGGACTGGAAATGATTCGAGATTTATGTGATGGGCAGCTGGAAGGGGCAGAAATCGGCTCAACAGAAATAACCTTTACACCGGAGAAGATCAAAGGTGGAATCCACACAGCAGATACCAAGACAGCAGGGTATGTATCACATTCCATCTAAGTTGGAGTTTGACATTAGATTTGGAATCAAACCCGTTGTACCATTTACTGAGCAAGTTGTTCAAATTCTGCAAACTTGGGGCCAGAAGGTGGCATAGTGGGTGGGACACTGGGCTCCCACATGGTCGACTGTGGTTCTAGTCCCGGACCTGGTGGTTACTTTCTCACTTTCTTTTCTCTTTCTCTCTCTTTCTAGTCAAATTAAAAATAATAGTAATAAAATAATGACAAAATAAAAAAAAATTTAATTGTACAGACGTCATTTTTCCCACTTTTAAAGTGGTGTCAAACACATTTTAGAGTTAGAGACAATGTACGTAAAGTTGGCAGTACCTAATTGCTTATCAATTGTAGCTACTACTGTATCTGGAATTTTCTCATGTGTAGTATGGTATGGCATATTTGTTTCTTTACTTTTTATTATATAGAAATTGAATATCTGAAACTGAAATTCTCCCATTGAGAAGTGGATATTTAACAATTAAGTTGAGCCCTTATTTTCTAGCTATCCCTTCTTTTATTGACAAAACAGTAACTACTTTCTGTATTGCTTTTCTGAGCTACTTGACTGATTGCTATCATAAGCAGTGCTCTTTTCCTAGAATTTTATTCATTTATGAAGAAATTTGATAAAACAAATGGTATCATAAACCTGATACCAGTTTGTTTCAGAAATGACTGTTTTAATGGATCATGTATTTTAGCTTAAGAAAATATTTATTACTAATTGAGATTTGAATTATATTATGACTTCACCTTTATGGAAACTGATCTGCTGGATCTAAAGTGAGATTTGCCAAATGAAAACATTCTTGGGCCAGCAGATGGCATGGTGGTTATATCACTGTACTCCCCACATGGCCAACCAGGTTTCAGTCCTGAATCCAGTGGCTTGAACATCATGCCAGCACATGTATGTGTGTTCCCAAGATCCTGGGAGGAGAAAGGACTGTGGTGTGGCCATCCCCCCTGGGGGGGGTGATTTCTTACTTTCCCTCTCTGTTTCTCTGTCTCCCTCTTTCTCTCTCTAGCAAGAGCACATACTGTAAGGCAAAAGCCTCTTTTTAAAAAAAAGGAAGAAAACTTTCTTATGGGAATTAAGGAATTTTGAGATGTCTTTATAGTCAGGCATTCTCCTGTACAAAAACCATCTGATAAAACAAAATGATAGAATTTTTAAACTTCTCGAAAAATACATGTGAATGAAGAAGTGTGATCTTGTGAATGAAGTGCCCTTGTGAATGAAGAAGTCTGAATCTCTTGGTGTTAAATGATCAAGATCAGAATTAGAGTTAACCTCTTGGCTTTCAGGCTCCTATCCCACTAGAATATATGGAAACTCAATTTACAGTTGATCATTTAGTTCTATTTAGGAGATTCAAGCAGAATTCAAGCAAGAAAACACATCTTGTGCCTGGCAGGTGGCATGGTGGTTAGAGGCGCTGGATTCCCACGTGGCTGACCACGGTTTGAGTCCCGGAACTGATGGCTTGCCTTTGCACTTTCCCTTTCTCTCTGTCTCTCTCTCTGGTCAAATTTAAAAATAATAATAACAAATGAAATTAAATAAATTAATTAATTTTAAAAAAAGAAAGAAAACAAATCTTACTCATTTTTTGCCATATTTATACTTACTCAGTTTTATCCCTAATTGTGGTTATCATAGCAAGTGTTTTCTCTGTCTACCTTTGTTTTTTACGGTTCCTTCTGTAAAGGTTTACTAACTTGGAATCTGATTTGATTGAGGGAAAAAAGAAATACTTTATATGTTTATTTCTCAGAGAGAATAAATAATGAGAAATTCAATAATTATGAATATATAATTTATAGTAAATGAAGCATTTCTACTTTTTAAAAATTTGCTCCTAATCTCAACTCCTGAAAACATGTATTACATTGCCTGTATTTTCCTCTTTTTTTAATGAAAGTTTTTTTTTGCCATAGGGCTCTGTACATACTGGAGACAGAGAAAGGGAAAGTAAGAAATTACCCCCCTCCCAGAAGAGATGGTCACACCGCAATCCCTTCTCCTCCATTCTCCTCTTCAGATTTTGGGCATGCACAAACACACCCACACCCACACACCTGGCATGAGTTTCAAGCCACCTGGTCCAGGACTTGAGCCATAGTCAGCCATGTGGGAGTCTAGTGCCTTCACCACCACTCTACCTGCTGGCCCCACATTTTCCTTTCATAACGCTAAACACATTATATAGTTAGTAAGTACTGAATCAATGACATTTATTATTAGTGATAGAGACTTTCTAGTTCAGTACATATGCACTATTGTGGTAAGCCAGTTAAGTAAAGTATATATGAGTAGATGTTCTGTCAAATTCCCTTTGCAACTCTAATCTACTTATTGGATGTGATTGCTTTCCCTTTACAGGTTTATTGAGGTGTAAGTATTTACAGTTAAATAAATAAACTTTCTAAATTTTTTTCTTTTGGTTTTTGCCATAGGTGTGTGGGCTTGCTGGAGAGAGACAGAGAGAGGAAAAGTGAGAAGTCATCTGATGGATGGTCACGCTGCAATCCCTTCTCTATTCTCCTCTCAGGATTTTGGGCATACACATACATGTACCCATCATGATTTTTTTTTAAGGAATTATTTAATTTGATTATTTTATCATTTTAAAAATTTGCTACTGGGTACAGGCACTCACCAGAGAGACAGGCAATGAGAAAGTAAGAAAGCAAGCTACCAGGTCTGGGACTCCAACCATGGTCAAGCATGTGGGAGTCTATAGTCTTAATCACCGTGTCACCTTCCGGCCCAACCCAGCGTAATTTTCAAGCAGGCAGGTCCAGGATTTGAACCATAGTTAGCCATGTGGAGTCCAGTGCCTTAATCATTAAGATACCTATTGGCCCCAGAGGCTTTAAAAAGAAAACAGAAAAAAAAAAAACAAAACATTTAACAGACACAAAAATGGATAATTATCTACTGGTAATAGTGTGTATGATAATAAATAAATATGAAAAAAGACAAAACATAGCTCAGTGGGTTCTGTTCTCTTTAGGAGCGTATGCCTCTTGATGCAGGTCTCAATGCCCTGTGTTCTCTTTGCTGCGTCTCCATCTGAGCTTCGTTTGAAAGGTGGGACTAATGCAGAAATGGCCCCACAGGTCGATTACACAGTGATGGTAAGGGCTTTTGTTGCTGTTGACAAACTAAGATGATCTCATGTATTCTTTTTGCTCTCCATTTTCCATTTAAATATATCTTGAATGTTTTCCTTGTTTTTTTCTTCATGGTGTCCAGTTACATTCCTGGAGACGGTAGGCACTTACATTTAAGCTTGTTATATCTTAGAATAGTCTTCTTTGTAAATTATTTTAAAATCTCAGTTGTAATTATGTAAATTGTGTAAGTTATGTAAATATATTAATTTATGAACATAAGAATTATGATTTTGAAGAAAACTGAAAAAAATTAAATGATGAAACTGAAAGCATTCTCTTATAACTAGGGGAGAGAAAAATAGTGTAATCTTTTTTTCTTCATGTTTATCGAGGTGTAATTATTATTAAATTCACCCTTCTTTTTTATTTTTCTTTCGAGAGAGGTTTTTGCTATAGGGTGCGTGTGGTTGCCAGAAAGACAGAGAGAGAGACAGAAAGCGAGAAATCTGCATGCATGCACACGCACCTGGTGTGAGTTTAAGCCACCAGGTTCAGGATTCAAGCTGCGGTCGGCTACATGGGAGTCCAGCAACATAGCCATTACAATGCTAACTGCTGGTCCCAAATTCACCCATTTTAACATACAGTTTAAACACACACTTATGAACCTCCACAATCAAGATCTAGAATAGCTCCATTACTTTAAGAAATGGCCTCCTACCCCTTTGTGGTCGGTCCTGACCCCCTGCCCCGGCAGCCACTGATTTGTTTTCTGTCATAGTTTTGCCCTTTTTTTCAAATGTCATATAAGGGATTAATACTGTATATATCCATTGAATCTGTTTTTTTTTTTCGTTTGCTATAATACATTGGAGTTTCATCCATGTTGCTTCTATCAGTAATAAAAACTAAGTAGTATTTTTATATTTGGATGTACCAGTTTATCAGTTCGTTTGTTGAAGGATATTTGGGTTGTTTCCAGTTTTGGGCAATTATGAATAAAATCACTATTAACATTTATGTATAGGTGTTTTGTGTGAACACAGATTTTTATTTCTCTTGAGTAAATACACAGGAGTGAGATTGTTGGGTTGTTATGGTAAGTAGGTCTGTGTCTAACTTTATGAGAAACTGCCAGATTGTTGTGGCATTCAAAGTGGCTGCATCATTTTCATTTTCACTTCATTCTCCCTAGCACTTGATAGTTTCAGGGTTTTTTTTTTTTCTCCCTTAAAAAACAGTTCAGGGGCCAGCAGGTGGCATGGTGGTTGAGGTGCTGAACTCCCACATGGCTGACCATGGTTCGAGTCCTGGACCTGGCTGCTTGCTTTTTCATTCTCTCTCCATGCCTTTCTCTAGTCAGATTAAAAAATAATAATAATAGTTTAATAGATTAAAAAAAAGTTTAATAACATGTATACCTTCTACATATTGTACATGGGAGTTAACCCAGAAAAATGAGTAAATATCTAGAGTAGACCTCAAAGAATGCCATTAGACTTCAGGATTAGATACTGTCTTCTAAGAGATGGTATTATCTTTTTAAAGTTAGTTTGATAAGAGACACAATGAAAATTCATCTCTCCTCACCTAGTAATTTCACATCAAGGAAACCATCCTAATTAGCTATTAGAATATGCAGCAAAAGATGTTAGTTATTTCAGCAGAACATTATATACTATAATTATCATTATATAATACATATAATTACATAATCATGAAAACTTAACAGAATAGTTAAGTGAATTATGCTAGAATGCCAGGTAGTCATATTGTTTGGGAAGAATTTTATGATGTTAGGAAAATGCCTTATGTTTATAATGTTAAAGATTAAAAATTATATATACAGTGAGATCTCAACTATAAAAAAATGGAAAAGGCAGGATGGAAGACCTTTGATGAATATCCTCTAATTTCTAACAGTGCAATATATGGGACAGTTAAGAAAATATTGGCCTCTGGAGTAAAATAACCACTGGGATTTAACATTCAAGTTCTGATTTATTGTTTTAATTAGATAGACTAGCACAGCCCTGATTAAATAAATGTTAAGCTGTTCATTTGAAAAATGGAACTAGCATATATATTTATATCATTGTTTACATATAGTGCCTAATTAATAGCTTAGTGCAGATCTTTTTTGGTTTAATACATACACTTTGAATCAGTGAATATTAGTGATTAAAGTAACAATGAAACTCATTTTTCAGGTTTTCAAGCCAATTGTTGAAAAATTTGGTTTCAAATTTAATTGTGACATTAAAATGAGGTAAGTTGCTTCTTAGCCTTTTTCATCTATTACTCATGCCAAACTTAGTAGAAAGTTAGAACATTCATTCTGGAACCCACTTACACATTATATTTCTTGTAGGAAACAATTGAACTTTGTGGCTTAAAAAAATAAACACGGGCATAGAGGCTTGAAAGCAGGTACACATGATATTCATTAGCTTGGGAAGACATATTTTCAAGGCTATTTCTATACTGACCCCCTTCATGCCTCATTTATCCACGCCCCAACACGGATTAAATGCTTGCTGTGTATAGACAACTTGGCTAGGCATTGTGAGATCACAAAAGGGGTGTTTTTCCACAGTGTGACCAGAAACGCATTAGACATTCAGGGTTTCTCTCTCTCTCTCTCTCTCTTTTTTTTTTAAGAATTATTTTACTTAACTTTATTTATTTATTTAATTTTAATATGACCAGAGATGGACAGAGCAAGTGAGTGAGCAAGAGAGAGTGAAAGAGAGAGAGGGGGAAAATGAGCAAGCTGCCAGGTCTAGGACTCGAACCATAGTCACACATGTGGGAGTCCAGTGCCCTTAACCACCATGCCACCTCCTGGCCCCAGGTTATTTCTCTAAGGCTTCCTTTCTGCCACATAATAACCAGTTCAGATTTCTTGGCATGGCATGGAAGTGTCTTGTAGTCTTACCCAGTTTACCCTCCTAGCTCTATTGTCTCTCCTCTTTATTTTTTGGAGAGGTTTTTGCTATAGGGTGTGTGCTCTCGCCAGAGAGACAGAAAGCAAGAAATCACTCTCCAGGAGGGATGGCCACGCTGCAATCCCTTCTCCATTCTCTTTTTGGTATCTTGGGCACACACACACACACACATACCCAGCATGAGTTTAAGCCACCAGGTCCGGGACTTAAACCACCATTGACTACATGAGAGTTCAGTGACATAGCCATTATGCTAACTGCTGGTCCCGTCTCTCCTCTCCTTCTGACATGTTCTTTTAAAAAAATTTTTAAAGATTTATTTATTTAATTTTATTTGTTGTTATAATTTATCTTTTAATTTGACCAGAGGGAGACAGAGAGAAAGAGAGAGGGAGAAAGCAAGGTTTCAGGTCCAGGACTCAAACCATTGTCAGCCATGTAGTCCAGCACCTTAACCACCATGCCACCTGCTAACCCCCTATATGATTGCTTGCTAGTCATTAAATGCACTTTGTGCCTTTGGACTTTACTGTCTTTGCATATTGTTCTTCCCTGGTTCTCCTAGAAATGGAAAGTCCTATGTTTTTTCAAAATGAAACTTGCAAGGCTGGCCTGGTGACCTAGTGATTAAGGGAGCTGGATCCCCCACATGGCCTGCAGCGTGGTTCAAGTCCTGGGCCTGCTGGCTAGAGAAACATGGGCGTGTGTGCATGATCCTGACAGAATGCAGAGATGGAGGAGAGGGGATTGTGACATGACCACACCCCATTGGGGAGTGCTTTCTTTTTTCTTGACTGCTTCTGTCTCTCTTTCTGTCAGTCACTCATGCCCTCTGGCAAATTAAAAAAAAAAAAAGAAGAATGAAATTTGTTATTTTTTGTGTAAACTGCCCATGAATGTGCCTCAGTTGGAATTCATATTTGCACCTCCTGTTGTAGTCCTCCTTACAGCCTGGCTTACATTCTGGTTATGGGTGGAGCCATCTCCTTCTCCTGCTTGAAGAGAGCACTTGTCATCCTCAGCATCTGCTGTAGAATAAATAACCCTAAGTGGGACTAGCAGTTAGCACAACGGCTAGGTCACTGGACTCCCATGTAGTCGACGGCGGTTCGCGTCTCAGACCTGGTGGCTGAAAACTCATGCTGGGCGCATGTGCGTGCATGTCCAAGATCCTGAGAGGAGAATGAAGGAGATGGGATTGCAGGGTGGCCATCCCCCCTGGGGGGTGATTTCTCGCTTTCTGTCTTTCTGTCTCTGTCTGGTAAGTGCATGCTCCCTATAGCAAAAAAGAAAAAAAAAAAAAAAAGAAATAACCCTAAGTAATTGAGTTGACATGTTGCTAATGTTCAGTGACTTAAATATTCATTGTGTATTTATTTATCTACCATGTGCCAGCCATTATATGAAGCACTGGAAAATAGCAGAAACAAAATAGACAGATCCAGCCATCAGGGAGCTTATATTCTAAACCAGCACTCTTAAGTAGAACTTTCTGGGGGCTGGCAGGTGGGGTGGTCGTTAAGGTACTGTATTCCCATGTGGCCAACTGCAGTTCGATTTCCAAACCCGGTGGCTTGCTTTCTCACTTTCCCTTTCTCTCTCTCTCTGTCCCTCTCTCTCTCTCTCTCTCTCTAATCAGATTAAAAAATAATGATAACAAAATTAAATAGATAATTCTTCTTTTAAAAAGTAGAACTTTGTGCACTGAGGGCAGTGTTTTCTGTCTTTGCTGTCCGATATGGTAGTCACTAGCCAGAAGTGACTCCTGAGCTCCTGCAATGTGGCTAATGGAGCTCGGTAGGTGGGTTTTAAGTTCTGTATCATTTTAATAGTCACATGCAGGTCAAGGATACTATATGGGACAGCAGAGACCTAAAATATCTAAAGCTTAACATGCATTACATGTTTGGGTGCCATTCACATGTTATTATATTGAACTTTATATTTGTCGTATAGTTTATGCGAGTATTTTTATACTTTTCATAGGGGCTATTATCCAAAAGGGGGTGGTGAAGTGATTGTCCGAATGTCACCAGTAAAACAATTGAACCCAATAAATCTCACTGACCGCGGCTCTGTGACCAAGATATATGGAAGAGCATTTGTTGCTGGTGTTTTGCCATTTAAAGTAAGTTACTTAGATGTTCTTAGAAGTGTATGTATGTCTCAATAAGTATTGTGTCATCTGAATTTTGAAATGATTGAATTTTAATACGTAAATTTTTGAAAAGTCTGCTTTCTCTCTGGTTTTGAAAATCAGATTTTTAAATAATGCATGTAAATGTTATTATCTTATGTGCCTTTGAAGACTCGTCCAAATAACTAGTAATTAATTTATTTCATTCTACTTTTCTGTCTTGCCAAATTAGGTAGCAAAAGACATGGCGGCGGCAGCTGTGAGATGCATCAGAAAGGAGATCAGGGACCTGTTCGTTAGCATCCAGCCTGTCCAGGAGCCTAAAGACCAAGCTTTTGGCAATGGAAATGGAATAATGTGAGAGTACCTTTTCCTAGACATTGGTTGCAAGCCTTGAAACAATGATCCTTTATAAGTTAACACTGTTGATTTTTCCTTAAATTAATAGTTTTAAGAAGATTTATTTTTAAGGTTATTCTACCTAAAAGATGATGATGGCAAAAAACTGAAAAAAAAAAGTAAATGATTATTCTGATTTTCTTTTTCTGAAGATGGTTTCCCTTTTATTATATTGTAAGATCCCCTTTACTTGTACAGTGAACTGAAATGTTTAAGCTAATCAAAAGTTAGTCTTTGAAGCTGATCCTCTGAAAAATAGTCCCAATTGCTTAAAATACCTGAAATATGGAATCAACTCACAAATATTAAATACAAGAAACATCTTTTTAATAAAAGGAATTGAAATATTACCTTAATCCAATTTACTTATAGAATTAAGTGTTACAAAAATTCTTTTATGTTTTTGAACTATAAAATATACTTCATAAATATTTAAATTTCTTTTTTATTATTTAAATTTATTATTATTTTTACTATTATTATTATTAATTTGACCAGAGAAGGAGAGAGGGAGAATGGGAGAAAGCAAGCTGCTAAATCTGTGCCTCAAACTATGGTCAGTCATGTGGGAGTCTGGCACCTTAACCACTATGCCAACTGCCGACCTGTCCTTTTGATTTCTTAACCACATTATTTCACTTTATTTCATTAGGAGATCCTCAGTGTGATACAGGGCATTCACCTTAAAATATTTGAGATAATTCAAAAGAAATTACTCCAAAGAAGCAAACCTGAAACAATGCTTCCTTCTCAAGTAAAAATTAACTCAAGATATTTTATGATAGAGAATTCTGATTAGACCAATGTCAACTGGAGACATGTATTGAGGGAGAACTTTAGGCAGGTAGCCTGGGTCATAGTTATGACTTTGAACACCTGCATTCATCTCTATCCCTGGACTTCCCAGCTATCTGAAACATCACTTCTCTGTTTCTGCTTATACCAGCGTGAGCTGGGTTTCTGCCAACTGTCAACTTTATATTTCTCAATTAACAGACTGTTCTTCTGTATTTTATTTGCATGCAATGTTAGAATATTTCTAGCATTAGATAATAATACTTTTTCTTTTTTTCCCCCGTGTAGCATTATTGCTGAGACATCCACTGGCTGTTTGTTTGCTGGATCATCGCTTGGTAAACGAGGTACAGATAAATGAAGGGGGACCGTAGTTCCTAATGCTACTGTAAAATTCTTTTGTTTTCTGTCAGGATTAGAATTTATGAAATGATGGGTGACAAGTTCAAAACGATATAGTTAACTCTTTTGAAGTAAAACTTTTGGTCTTTCTCCCAATTTTGTATTTATACTTTTTTTTTTTTGAGAGGTTTTTTCACTATAGGGCGCGTGCGCTCGCCAGACAGACAGAGAGAGACATAGAGACAGAAAGCGAGAAATCACCCCCCAGATGGGATGGTCACGCCGCAATCCCTTCTCCTCCATTCTCCTCCTGGTATCTTGGGCACGCACGCACACGCGCCCAGCGTGAGTTTTAAGCCACTGGGTCCGGGACACAAACCACGGTCGACTACGTGGGAG